TCAGAGTTTCCTCCCCAATTGAGTCACCATTCGAATGAAAATCAAATAAGGGTTACAAACAAATGTATTCAAATATCAGCTAAGGGCTAGGGGCAGGAAATCTGAATCCAATAGCACATACCCCAAGTCGAGCTGCTACAGCAGCAACCGGCAAAACACTCCAGGGTCAGGCCTAGAGTTTTTTCATAGGCATGAACCCCTAAAATTTATTGTTCTGGCAACGCATCAGTCCACCCAGCGATGTACTGTGCCGTCTTCCACGAAATCTTCCAACCACCCCGTTTGATGATGGAAATGGTACATCCACCCGGAGAATCAACATTGATTCCGCTCACTGGGTTCACAGCATATTTCACGTAGAAGTTCTTGTTCCACCACCTGGGAGCGAAACAGATGATAAATCATGTTTTCTTTTCTTGACATGCATGCGTACCTCACTGTTTCTTTGACAAACAGGAAGAAAAATAATATCATGAGAAAACTTGGGGCCCCTGCAACACACCAATAGTGGACATTGTCTCAGGGTCAGTGGGCGGAAGGGTATAGGACTTCTGGTTCCCATTGAAACCGGCCATGATGGGAATGCCCAGCTCGGTAAACTCTTTCTCCTCAAGGAGAGTTTTTCGTTTTTTTGTACATGATATTGGTATACATATGGGAAAATCGAAGAAAATTGGACACATATATATTGTCATGATGTACATGCACACCATACACTCCTGAACTTTCCAGGCTTCTCGAACTTCGTCTTCAGTTGTCTTTGGTTTTGGTGCTCTGCTTCTCTTCGCCTTAGCCTTGGGGTCCACCTTAGCAGGGGTATTCACGCTCTCATCCACTGCAGGTGTAGCAGGGGCAGGTGCCGGGTGCGCAGGTCGCTGGTCTGCTGCCGGTACTGTCTTTGGTTCAGCTTCTGTGGGCTCAGGCTCAGGATTTGTTTCCGCTACTGGCTTGAGTTTCTTGGCATGTTGCTTGGCTTCTGTGGTGTCTGCATCCTTGCGTTTCTTCTCTGTGCTGCTGACACTTTCTTCAGTGTTGTCTTGTTCTGACGCAGTAGCTGGAGCAGGTGTGGGTGCAGTGTTTTTTCCCTTGCCCCGACCTTTTCCTCGACCCTTCCCTCTACCTTTCCTGCAAGTTGGTTTCACCTTTCCGTCATCAGTTAGCTCTGCAGGGCCATGCCGGGCTGCGTCTCGTACCTGGCACGTATGTCGCACAAAAACTTAAAAGAAATTTGTTTGGAAATTTCCAGGCCTAGATGTGCACAACTACCGATTAATACATGTAAACAGTACAATATATATATATATGGTGATGATGATGATGATGGTGATGGTGATGGTGATGGTGATGATGGTGATGATGATGATGGTGATGATGATGATGATATAGTGCAAGTTAACGCATGGCCTTGGCCTGTGCCGCCATCATATCGATATCATCGCCATCTTCTCCATCCATCATTGATGCCACATGCTCCTATCAGCATGCACACTTTTACGATGCCAACAGTATAAAAATGGATCTTTTCACACTCTGGCAGGCCTCCAACTTGCCGTCCAGCTTGGGAACCCCAGGCAGCAGGGGCCTGCGGTCCTGCAGGCAAACGGGAAGCAAGTTGGTTATGGATGAACATTTCGGTTTGTGAGAAACTAAATATAATATATTATTGGTATCAAAAATGGGGTGATAACACATATATCAAGTTTCCCCAATATTGCAATGTATGATGTTTCGTAAGATGTAAGATTAGAAAAAATGGTTTGCAGCATCCTTCATGGCTTGACGACGGGAAGTCTGATCATCTTCGTGAACTTCTTCAAGTTGAGGTTCCTGCAGATAAATATATGGAACTCATATCATGATCAACGATGGGGTTCTATACAATTGAAACTTGTGAAATTTGTGAATTGTACACGTTAGACAAGCTAACTGTAATGTTCCTTGTTGTTTGCTGTCTTTGCACGATCATAGCGTTCATACCACTCACGGCGGGCATCATCCATTTGGGAATCTGTCTCGGGCAAGGGAAGGGTCTCCGCGTTGTCTGGGTGCACAGCCTGATCAAAAAGTCAAGAACACTGAGCCGGACTTTGTATACATGTTCACTGTGTTCACGGTTGGTTCATTCTTTGTTAAAATTGAGTATATATATAATTTCACATCACCACAACCAGCCTGAAGTGGCATATGCAATGGTGCTGCCTTAGACACACTATAGCTGCATGATCCATGACTACATAATTGTAGTTAGATTACAAACTCTCATTCGAACATTGATGAACTATTTTTTTATCATATATACAGCCCGAAAGTTTTACAACACGCATCGAGTCTAAGTCTCTACGTTGTGATCCAACCTGACAATGCCACAGCCAACCCCAAGGTTTGGACCTTGGCAGGAAGTGGTTCTTCACCGTCTTGCCCTGAACTTGAATAGGCAGCTTCTTCCTGAGCGTGGCTGGAGTGTTTTATTTGGGTGAATATTTTTTTAAAAAACATGGGCCTCTTCGGCCAGAACTTGTTTCTCATTTCCTCGGGTGATCTTGGCTTGAAAAGCAGTCTCATCAAAGTCGTCACCACCGAAGTTGTCTGCACGCAAGTTGGCGATCAATGTTTCACTCATCATGATCTGGTTTGGCGAACATAAAATATGTGGAAATAGTGTTGAGGCTAGCAGGTGGCCTGTGATCACTTGGTGGATCAAATCTTTCAGCATCTGTATCTTGGATGTCCTACCAGTCAAGAACCACATCATCAAATTGAAGAACGTATCCAACAGATCAAAACCATGGTGATTTTGAATTCCATTTTTTTGATGACGCTTACTTTATTTAACAGAACATCAAGAGATCCAAATACGGCCAACTCTATTCACAGTCCTGGCACCCTCCGCCCGGCCATAAAGGTTATAGCAGTGGACACACAGCCCGCGGGCTATACCGCCCTGCTGCTTGGCCCAATCCTGTGGGCTGGGGGGGTATGGAATTGTGTTTGAACTTGTTTGACTTGCAAGTAGAACAATAGAATAATACAGTCCTTTTGCACCTTCTTCCGGGTATGAGGTGGGAAGATGCCAAACGTGCGACAGATTTGATAAAGATGTCCTGCAAACATCTTGGGTGTCAACCAATTTTTGAAAACAGCCGACATCAAGTCAATCCCAGAATCAACCAAGAAGGAATTTGTATATATATTGTGATTAAAGTATTTTTTCTATCTGTTCACCCATATATATGACGTTGATCCGAGGTTGGCTTTGGTGATCAGCAATTATAAGACATGACCAGTCCTCAAACATTGCCGCCCTGGGAACGGCTTCTCCAGCAAAAGTGCTGAAGAAGTGGACAAGGAAAACCCAATTAGCTTCAACCTCATGATTGGGAGAGCCAGCTCAAGCAAACTCATATTTCCGATCAGCCGATCAACATCATTTAATTGGGGGCCACGCTGACTCTGCAGACTGGGCTCCTTCATCCCCAGTCTCAAAGACTGCCTTATCCTGGATCGGTGCAACAACTAGGTATATGGATAAAGATCATGGGCAGATTAATGATATATTGTAAATGAATCATTTTTTAAAATAGAGATGCTATTGACAGTCCTCACGGTCTCTGACTGCAGGAATCAAGTCTGGATCACTCAGCATATACGATTTGACTATATCGTCGAGTAGTTGGTAGGCAGGCTCAGACCGAAGAAGGTGAACTCTGCTTGGTTTCTTCACCAGCTCCTGAATCAAAAGGTTTGAAATGTTTGTAAACCAAAATTGTTTGAATGAAACCAGAAGTTACAATTTCATGGAATCAACCATCCTGACCAGATGGGGCAGCTGCGCTCGCCATCATGGGTGAACGGTGCCAAGGTCAAAACCGCAATGCTGTGAGTGCAAAGACGGGCAGCCGGCATGACAGTGGAGTATAGCAACTTGCAAAGTATTGACTTTTGCAAATCAACAGAGAAAATTTGTTCACCATCTTGATCAGTCACTGTTTTTGAACAACGCCACTACTGATATCATGCACGGCTTGGGGCGGCGTACCATCTAGGGATTTCTTCTTGGTAAACTTGCCAGTGGGTGGTATCACCTTGAAGCGACCTCAGCCAAGATTAGATAGACCACAGCCCTTTAAAGTTGAACCATTTCTCTTTACCTGCAACATCACATACCCCATTGGTAAGTGCCAAACGGTTCACAGAAGCTCTGCGCATCGCACAGGGTTGCCATTGCAGACCACTGCAGATATTGAATAGATGGTATACCAAACACCTGTGACTTATAGTGCGTCCATTGCACATTGTTTTCACCTAATTGATGCAAAAACAATGAAGTAAACCATGAATACAATGCATGGCAGGAAATGAGAAGCAAAGAAACATGGGCGTGAGTGAAAAAGATCTGTTCGAGCCCACATGGCCCCTCAGCTGGAAGCCATCGAAGGTCATCGAAAGCCAGTCTCCGAGAACGTAGTCAAAATTCACTAACATGGGCTGTGTAGTCAGGAGGAGCATACATTGCCATGATAGCGAATATCATTGACATGGATCGTAAGGGTATATATAATATATAATATACATAATATAGACATAATATCACATATAATTAGATCCATCAGTTTGGAAAATGTGAGTCCCTGAGTCTTTTCAGGTCAGTCAACCGAATTGCGGATGGAGAATAAGACCAACATTGACATATGTCACCAGTACAGGTTAGTAATAGCTGGCCACCATCTCCTGTCTTTCAGTATTCTTCCTGGCCAATCTTAGACGCACTGCAAACAATCATTTTACCTTTTGAACTCAGTACATAACTGTATTGTATGTATCGTTTCACATAGTTTAATAATATATCACCTCCTGATGTATGTATAATATATATATATATATATTATATAATACTGTAATGTATATGTCCATCTTACTGTAATGTATATTTCCATCTGAACATTGTAATAGCTAGTCCAACGAACTACCCGAATCACGAATCGAACCTGGGTTCCCCAAGCTCTTCCCCAGAGTTGCTGCTTCTTTGCTGCATAACATCTCACGGGCGCCTCGCAGGCAGGTTTTTGGGATGGAACAATGTGTGATAAAATTGCTGTTCAAGGGGGAACATTGTGATAAACAGTATATTTGGGTACCCTATGTTCATTTTTTCATCCAGCTAGTTAACTGAGCTGTAACACTAGCTATAATCTTTACCATTACAAAAGCTCATGCATACAACTTGGATACCGCTACAAGAAAACATACTATCAGCATACCTCACCTATATATGTAACCCTAGCAAATAACTTCCAAGCCCCCATGATTGCACTCATGCTTTGGCCCTTCAAAAGTCAGTCTGGAACACGTCAGACGTTTTCCATCAATGCTTTTTTTGTCAGGTTCATTCACCTTGACCCAACATTGGCAGGTAATTACATTTATATAGATCATATATATATATATATATCATATATATATATATAAATATCATATATACATATATATATTTATAGTATTTATAGAAATAGACTAAACATACTAAACCTGTCAGGGCCTCCCTTATCACTGTTCCCTTATCGCCTTCCACAGCGCCGAGGCCCCAACTCTGCCCTGGCAGATGCGGAGCTCGTGCGCAACGGATCCAGGGGGCAGCCTCGCGGCCAGCAATTGGCTTCCGACTTCATCTCAACAGCTATTGAAAATGGTGATTTATAGTGGATTTTCCCATTAAAAATGGTGATTTATAGTGGATTTTCCCATTAAAAATGGTGATTTATAGTGGATTTTCCCATGAAAAATTGTGATTTTCCATAGCTATGTTGAATTACCAGAGGGTAGCACTTGATGAAGGAAAATTCTTGATATATGATGATCTTCACATGATATATTCCTGTACATATCTAGTTCCTTTAGGTCTCCGCCTGCAAGTTTTAGTAGCTCCATGATCTTTGGAATATGGATCTCTGGATCGCAGGTAGATGACAACTTGAAATGAAACTCTGAAGAATTGGTAAGAACTGACTGGACAATTGTATCATATTTACAGAGTATTCTACATGTATATACATAGATAGTACAGTCTGAAGAATGTGTATGTATCTTATGTATTATATACACCTGTATTATTCATTAAAATTCATTAAATATATTTAAGTATATACATTACATATCCATGCGGCCGATCTCAAGTAAAACTGAGACATTGCATGGTGTGAGACTCAGAATTCCACAACTCATCAAGGAACAAAACAACCTTGAGAGGGGAAACAACAACATCGTTATCTATTATATACTATATATATTCACATATGGAGGTTTCCAAATCATCCGTTTTATTTTGGGATTTTCCATTGTAGACCATCCAGCTATGGGGTACCCGGCGGGTACCCGCATGGCCATGGCCTTCCACTCGCTGTGTTTCAGGAAGTCTTCCAGTTCTTCGGTCTCCTCGGTCTCCTGGAGCGGGTTTCACAACATGATGCCAGCAACCTTCACATCGAGTTTCTGTATGGAAATAGCCCATGATAAAACCAACAGTGGACTTTATAAAACCTATATTAGTTCTACTTATAGTTATGAATCAATATAATATCAATATAATTAATTCCTGCTGATATTTCCTTTGTCCAACTCTCATAAATGGCTATGTAAATATGTTAAATCATCATTTTCCATGGGAAAATCACCAGATCTTGGATGGACTCCATGTATCCATTGCTGATGGTTTGTTTCCATGGAGATCCATGGAGAAATGACCATCAAAAGCGCCTCCACGTTGTTGAAGACCACCAGCAGTCGCGGCAGCGACTGCACAGTCTCCTGCTTGAAGCGAGCGCTGCGCACGGTGGGCGCAACTCCGTCAAGTTTGAAATAGCGAAAGTGGGTTATAAGTATGGTTTTGTTTATTATATACGAGTTATGTACAATATGTGTTATAACTAAGTATCAGTATGGTGATATATAATATATATATATATATATTTATATGTACACACATTTAAATACGATATGTGTTATAGCTGTTATAACACGTTATAGCTATCATAACACTTGCAGGTAGCAATTGAAGCAACATTGTAAGCTAGTTATGATTATGGGATGAAATGATGGCTAGGCATGGCTAGGCGAAGTATCGTATGCGATTATATAGTCAGCTGTACCCAGCAAAATCAATCGGCTTTCATAGAAGGGGCCACTGACAACGGTGCAATTTGAGACATATCGGATAGTAGAAGGAACCAACATCTGCAGCGTCACTACTGTGAATGGATTGGTCACGTGCCAAGTCTGTGCCGACAGAGTTGAAAATTCCGAAGAAATGCCAAATCGAAAGAGAATCCAAAAAAGTGTTGAGAAATGATGTGTCCAATTGATTTTATGTACCCTCTGGTTATTTAACATAGCCATGGAAAATGGCCCATTTATAGATGGTTTACCTATTAAAAATGGTGATTTTCATGGCTATGTTAAATAACCAGATGGTATATATAAATGATATACAGATTAGATCAGAAACAAAAACAAGTGCATTGTTTAAACTCAGAGGGGTAAACATTCAGATTCCAAATGACATCAAATATTATCCATGCTTGAATCTCACCGCCACTCAACCAAACAAAACAAAGCGTAGCATAACTATGTCGACATATGCCGACCAATATGTATGTATGCATATCTGCCCAATTGTATGGAAACATGGCGGCATATTTGTTTGAACTACACAAATCAAAGTTGAATGAACCAATTTGAAAACGATAGAACTAAACAAAGATAACATTTCTTCTTCAGGTGGGTTTGTCTCAAAATAGGGTACTCCTAAATCTACTGGTCAATTATCATATTTGCCATTAATCAAAATATTTTGTTTAGAGACTTCCAGACACACCTACATGGCCACCATTATTGGTTGTATATGTATATATATATATATTATATTGTATTTATCCCATTCTATCCATATTTTCCTAGTTAAATCCCAATAAAATTCATGGTTAAGACGGTTAAGCCACCATGTTCGCTATTTTCAGACACATCTCTATGGGTTTCAAGCGCACTGCCAATAGAAATTACTCTCCACCTTGGTGTTGGCATTGGCATTTGTATCCTCGCCATCAAAGGCCTCGGTCAAGAAAAAATGGGACATATTCCGCGGGGGATTTCACCAACAATTATGGGAAGCATTGGGAAACTATGGAATATATCATGTGCATATAGTGGGATAAACAACCAACTTGATATGATCATATGGATTATGATGGATCATGCTCATCCCAGCATTATTGCAAGGTGCTGTCCTAGACTTTGCGAAGTTGGTTTCTCGCCAAGGTAATTTGAGTTTATGGCACTGTAGATATCTATAGATATAGTTGATGGGGTTTCTCAACCAACTGTCACTGGGGAGGGGGTAAAACAATTGTTTCATCCCAATTCATGAGGAGGATGACAACCCGTCAATATTTGTACAGTATTGTATAGTTTGGATCTTGACGTATATGTAAAACATCACAACATATCCACCAAAAAAACATGGCTCAAACCTGTTCAAAATTGGCCACCACAAGACTGGAACAGTCCTAAAAAGTTGATCGCTACCTACACCATGTTCATCCTCGACCCATGTTCAACCAAAGCTAGCATGTTATATAATCATTACTTCCTATTCACTTTGTTATATTAAATAAATTAGAACATCAAATTATACCATGTTCAATCTTCAAAATATTTACTGTATGTATGTATGTATGTAGGTAGGTAGGTAGGTAGGCATGCATGCATGCATGCATGCAATTACATATATACATATATCACCTGGTTGGTGGTTTCAACCCCTCCGAAAAATAGTAGTCAGGTTGGATCATCATCCCAACTATTGGGGATAATAAAAAAATGTTCCAAACCACCAACCAGAATTCTATAAATCTCCATTGTTGCTGGTTAAATCACCATGTTCCTATGGTTTTCCTATGGTTTGATCAGGATCCGTGTTCAATGACAGCATTTTCCCGCCACTTTGTCGCCTGCTTGGACCGGAGCCAGGAACCCAAATCGGGCACCTGCCGCGGACATTGCCAAGGAATCCAAACATCATTGGGTAGTCTCTGGTGACTTAACACTTTGGAACATGGCCCATTATAGATGATTTCAACGCATTAGTCCCTTCCCTTCATAATACAAAAAAACTACTCAAGGATACTCCAGGTGTTTATTATTGGGGGGGGTGAGGGGGACGGTTTATTTTTAGGGAGACGGGATTATCAATGATTTAAACGATTTATGACGATTTACTTATTGACAATAGAATATATTTGACACCACCTGCCAGAAAACCATCACAAGAAAATCTAGGGGTGCCCCAATACAGGCTTAACGAGCCTGAAAAGAGGCGTGGTAGGGGGTCAACAATCCGTCAACAAATATCACATGCATGATCCATATACATCTATTTACATCCATTTACATTCATGCGCTGTATCTATATATGATTGGAGGGCAGATCACACAAAACGGATATAAATATAAGTTCACAACATCAATTAAACAATAGATAACCATAACTATGTTTCATTAATCCATTCATCTCATGAAAATTCATGAATCTTCATGCTGTGATATGATCAAGCCATAAATAGTCATTAATCCATTCATCTCATGAACAGATGCTATGATTTATTCGAAATGTTTCCTAAAGTTATGCTGCACCGAAGTACCTGAGTCCTTGTCCTCGTCCTCGACAAGCCGAGGTACCTTGGACTTCAGAGTGGCCAACAATCGCAGGAAGCTCCAGAGCTCAGGGTCCTTGGTGGAGCGACTGGGACGGTCCTGGGATGTTTTGGGGATGATGAGATGAAGAGCTCCGTAAAATGCTGGGAAGATACCATGTTTATAAAAATGTATACCATGTTTATCAAATTTTGGTCTTCATTTATGTCAATGAAAATTAAGCTTTGGATTGCCACTAATGGTGAGAGATAAATGTTGTTAATCATCATGTTTAGATGGGTATGTACATAATACACATCTACAAATTATGATCATTCTTATTCCCACCATTATGATCGTCATTCATTTGTAGACCCAATGGTTTCATTTTTTAAGATGGTAGATGGTAGAAATTATGTGAACCATCTGCCAATGTCATCGGACACTGGGTGATTTGAGGAGGAAAACAAATGTGGGTTGATTTTGAAAGTATATCTGTGGGAGATACCCATTTGATTCCAAGATCAAAGAAATGGATAGACTTAATTACTCAACAAGGAACAATTAATCTTGTAGTTTCTACAGTTATGGCCATTTATTAGTTATAACTTATAACTGGTTATAAATGGGATTATACAATCTATAAATGGGGTTTTGTTAGTACTTATAACTGGTATTTCGGGCCATAACTCTAATTTGATCTCATTTTCACGTCCAGTCAACATTACTGTTATAACCTCTACCTCTAACCACCGCTTGGAACTGCCAGTTCTCCTGGACCCGCGAAGTACTGCCGCTCTTTTTTCAGCGATGTTCGTTTCGCTTCCACGTACTGTCCCTTCTCACAGGAACTGATGACGGCTGCGAAGGTGATATCCTGGCGACAACTTTTTTGGATGCGAAGTTTCTGTAACAATCCAGGGACACCAAGAGTGCGGATGAATCATCTCTGGATCATCATATTCAAACATGTTAAACACATCTGAGGGGAAACTAGGGCGTTTTATCTCATGTGTACTAGACTTCAATCCAACTGAGCATTCTGAAATGGGAATGGCAAAAAAAAACAAAGAACACATCTAGAAGACACTGGCCCAAGAAATTTGCAATCCCAGTGACAACCCAACGAAACCTTTGACCTTCAATTGCAGACTGTGTGTTGTGGCACTTTCAACAACATAGTTTTCCCCATGGTTGCCGAATTGCAGTTCTTCCAATGTTCCGCCGAAATTCTGAACATGGTAATTTACTTAACAAACAACTGTTGATCGGCATTTTTGAGGTGCAATGCTACTACAAAGAAACATCCAATGTCATCATATTCATCTTCAAAAATCAATACATTTCCATCCTAAGATGGGTTCTTGGAAAACCTGAAGATTGAATTCAGTGAATGTCCACTCATGCAGCATCCCTCAAGAGTGTTTGCACATGTTTTGCAAAGGTTTGATGCTTGAAACAAATAGCTTGTTCGGTGCTAGCTAACCATGGGGGCCCCCTTTGTATATCATTGGTGAGTTACAGTACATCCAATGATATACCACATTATACCATTAATTTCCCATGATATTCCGCTAATACACTATCCTTGTAAATAATGTTTATTATCGTGAATCACCCATCAATTCTAGTAACCAAGATAATGGTGCTTTATTAGCTTTATTGGGGTATTCATGGAATATCATTGCATATTAATGGAATGTTTCTGGAATATTACTAGGTTCAATTGGTCTATCCCATAAATCCCATTCGTATCCCATGCTAACCTATTAGTATACCAATAAAGACAAACTATTTTATTGAGATCGGAGATGTTTGGATCATAATATTTGATTTTTTGGGATATAAACTATACATATATATATATATATATATATGTATTAATATATACATACATATATATATATATATATATTCTTGGGATACAATATATAAATTATATATTTTCCTTGATTGGTTTATCCCAAAACCCCATTCCCACACCAATTTGTTTTTGCATCCCAGGCGTCATCCGCTTGCACCGTGCTTCGCAGCATCAGCTCCAGCAGGTGCAACGCCTGACGCCACTGGCCCGCCTTTTCGCAGCTGCTCAGTACCGCGTTCCAAGTCACCAAGGAAGGCCAAGGTGTGGCAGAGAACAAGCTGAGGGCCTGCGCCAGGATTAAACAAACTGTTGTGGTTGGTATCCAGAAAATAGAATGTGGTGAAAATTCTTCTAAAATTCTGTGGTATGTATATATTTTGTTCTATCCCTTTTTTGGGGTTGCTATACAAAGTTATAGGATATGGGAATATATCAGGTTAATGAAATTATGGGGATATACATGGGGATTATAGAATAAATTATATATATATACGTATATACGCGCAACGCCTGGACTTAATAAGGGTTCAATTCTCCAACCCTGTTAAACTTATCGAAGATCTTCAATAAGGTCTTAATTCTCCCACCCCCGTGAAACTTCTACATTCATTGAAGATCATCAATAAGGTCTTAATTCTCCCACCTCCGTTAAACTTCTACATTCACTGAAGATCTTCAGTAAGGGTTTGATGATGATGATGATGACGATGATGATGATGACGATGACGATGATGATGATGGTGATGATGATGATGATTATTATGATGATGATGATGATAGTGATGGTGATGATGATGATGATGATGATGATGACAATGATGATGATGATGATGGTGATGATGATGATGATGATGGTGATGGTGATGATGATGATGTGTCGTCTGTCGTCATTACAGGTCTGGGCAAAACCCAGGCATTTGCCGTATATATATATATATACATTATACATATTATATATATATCGGGATATACATGCGGATTTAAGCAGTGGACATTTGGATTTATCCACCAATCACTGCAATCCATAGTGTTGATTCATGAGAGGTTTCTGCTACAATAACTAAGATTCATATGATTCACGATGGACATTGATGGACTTATTCTCCTGGTCAGTGAAATTCATTTTGAAAAGCTAGCAAGGCTCACCTTGCGGGGATGATCCACCGATGACGTTCTGCAAGATATGCTTCTGAATGGATGAGAACCAAGTAAAGCGCATGGCGCTTAAAAATTCTGTGTACAACTTCAGTGAGGATTGCGATCACGATAACTCCATATGGTCCCCCCAGATGCCCCAATGTAGAACTGATCCCATACGACAGGTTTCAAGGGACGCGGACATCGGCGAAACGGATTTGACCCTGGTTTCACTTCCGTTCGAATTTGGTATCCTCGGCGTGGAAAGCTTACAATAGTCACAAATGGATATAAATGGCTGAAGTTAATGTAGTTGCTTCCTTGAGTTGGATTTTCACCTACAACACACCTTCTGCACAGGAACAATGTAAGGCTCGGAATGAGGTGATTTTCAAATTAACTTAAAGCATCAAACAAAGTCAACAAACAACTGTGAGCCATTGCGTGCCAGTGTCCCGGACCCCACATGCTGCGTGAATTGACACCCTTCAAAGCTCGGACAATAAACAACACAGTTTTCTCAGCTATGCAGCAATGCATTAATATACGTTTCCAATCTTTTCCATCTGCAGTTCAAACTTAAGTAACTAATAAGCCATTCGCCTAGTCACCAAGGCCCATAAGTTTGGACTGCCCCATACCGCCCATGCCGCCCATGCCTCCTGCCAACGGCCCTGCTTCTCGCAGGCGCTAATGGCTGCATTGAAATTGATGACATCTGGCCGCAGTTTCGCGACACTCGTCATGTCATCGAAGAAGACAAGCGCCAGTTGCCACTGATTGCCTGGTTGGAGCACACCGACCGGGGATGATCCAAGTGTTGAAGCGTCACTGTGTTTTTCACAAACCAAGGGCAGGCAGTGTTTGAAGCAACTTGACACACATGGGCCTTGGTTGCAAAGCACACAGTAGCTTGCATGGCTAGGTGAAATGAAATCATAGGTGACTCCAACAGAATGCTTAGACCCTAGATGTTCGCATCTTGCTCAACCTTTGATAACATTTTGTTACGCTATCTCCTCAAAAAATACCAAACAAATCTAAAAAGACAAGGCATTCGAATGATGAGTTTTCCAAAAGCTTTGGGGGGCATCCGGAACCTCCCACCTTTCTCGAGGGCGCTCATGGCTGCACTGTAGCTGATGAAATCCGGGCTGGTCGATGTGTTGAAGAGCCACAGAGCCTGCTCCCATTGGCCATCCTGCAGGGGAATTCTGGGAATCCCGACCTCCCCAGAAGGGGGAAAACTTATGGAAAAACTATAGGCGAAAAAACATTGTAAAATGGCTATGTGGGAATCTTTGGGTGTCCGCACTTGAAGCTTAGCAATGCTGTTCTGGACTTGCACAAAACCCAAATTCGATCAGCGTTTACCGGTAAAAAAACAATCCTGGCCATGATGGTCACGAAACTTCCGCAATGAACTCTGTTAAAAGACCAACTCAGAAGAAAAAACAACTGCGTCTCAACTGGCATATTCCCAATTCACAGCAAAACAAAAGCCTAAGTCGTTCATCTGCCGTTCACCAGTCAGTTTACCTATGAAGTACTCATGACGCATACTGTGTTTCATCTCATCATATCTCATCAATCTGCTGGTTTCTCAAAGCACAACTCATGCAACTCTGAAGCACAGCAAACCAACCGGTGACCAGTTCTATCTGCAACAAATATATTGTATTGTTCGCACACCACACCGTGTTTTTTTAAATCTACATCAAATTCATTAAATAGTAAAATTATATGGCTTATGGGAAACCGCCCCATCACATGAGATAAACATCATGAACATCAGGTTCATGGCTTGCTCCCAGTCGAGTCTGCCAACAGCTGCAGTCCTTCTCGCAGGAACTGATGACTGCATTGAGGCTAATCAAATCCTGAGCCACGAGGGGGGTGACGTTGGGAAAGGGGGAAAGATAAATTGAACATGGATTGTATGGATATGGCAGTGGATTAAATGATACTAAAACCAGATGTTGCCCTGGTATTCACAGGAGAACGAAAAGCTGCTATAGCTGGAAGTTCATCCATTCGTTCATATATCATAGGTTATGACAACAATCTTATGTAAAAACAGTGGACCCAACGCACCGCAATATATACAGATCTCCGGCTATTCTGATGAAGCTCATATTCAAAGCGCCTAGTACACTTCACCAGGACCTTAAGTATGCTTGCCCAACAATAACAGCTCGTTAAGAGCGAATCTTAACCACTAACAACTGCAACGATAAGGGCTTGTTATTCACCATCTATATGGGTGGTCACCAAAAATTGGGGGACGGTTAAACCCTCATGAAAAAAATGGCTGGTAGGTATTGAGAAACCAAACTCTGTGTAGCAATCCAAAGCTCTAATTTTATAAAATCAGGGTGCCCCCCCGGTAATTTAACATCGCCATGGAACATGGTCCACTTCGATGATTTAAATCATGGTGATTGTCCATGGCAAAGTGTTGAATTATAAGCACAACGTATGATTTTTGTCCAAGAGTCAGGCTGCAGTTCCGACTCCCGGATGCCATGAAAGATACGGATAGCTTTCTGCCATTCTCGTGCTTTTTCACAAGCACTAATCGCAGCGCCGAAACTCACAATGTCTGGCTGAAGATCAGCTTCAGACCTGGGTCTGCTGGCAATCTCATATCCAACACTGGGATGGGTCACTACATGTGATTACTGCCAAAAATGCAAAGTCAAGCTTGATTACAGTAGTCACAAACGTATATACAGAGTGACGTTTTACACTTCCCATTCTACCAGTACAAGTACTCATTGAAATCTAACAATAACAAAGCAGGTAACTGGTTATGACATGGTTGTACATGTTCCAGCTGTTCCCCATATATATATATCATGAGCTGATACAAACTGGTCGTCGCCCCTCGTACACACAAGTACAAGTCAACAATTTATAATCAGTAGTAAAGCTGGCATCTTTCCCAACCAAATCAGTTGGTGGCAAAATCACCAGCAACGTCTTCGTTCTTTCGACTTCTATCTGAACAGTGGGTTTGGGCATTCTCAAACAGATCATCGAAAATGGTGCGGGTCTACAGGCAACGGATATGATGATCCCATTTCTAGTTTTTGTTGTTCCTATTCCTTTCACATGTTTGAAACCACCAAACAACCGACTTTGAGCATCCAAGTCACATTGCATTAAACATCTTCAAGGCGCGCTGCCACTGCCTGCCCTTGCAGCTGCTGATCAGGGCATTGAAACTGATGATGTCCGGAGACACCGACACCTCTTCCATCTGGGAGAACAGAATCAAAGCCACCTGATTCGAAGTGAAGTGAGAACACCAACAGTCAACCTTTGGCAGGATTTTGGCAGGCCTACCAGCATCTGAAGATGTCGTGTTTTTTCATCGTTGCAGGCTGACACTTCATTCAACAAATCCAATATGATTGATCTCCCAGTGGGTATATACATCTTATAGCAACATGTTCCACAACAAGCATGGTTGCAGTCAAACGCAGATTTAACATCGCTATGGGTCAGCTCATTTGCGCACCCTGGCTCTCAACCCAAAACCTCTGTTTCTACCGGTACTCATTCCATCATCCAAATAATCCAATGAACTCTGACCAATCCCCACTAATTCTGGGCCAATTTTGCTTCGATTGTTCTTCGCCATTTCGAGATGACTTTCCAAGATGTTTCAAGATTGGTTGATTTTAGGTCGCTGCAAGTGAGCCCAATTTGCGCAGCAGAACATCGTGGGTCTCGTTGGGGCCTGCCATTGGTTGGCCTTTTCACAAGCACTCAACACTGCATTGAAACTTATCACCTTGGACGCGATGGTGGAAACTGGCACTGGGGAGTCAACATCCAGGGGTGAAATGAAATTCCTGGGTGTTCACAGTCAAATAGCTGGGATTTATGCACGTTCATCCCAAATATGGTGTAAAAAACTCATAGGTTTTGATCATGAAATCGTAAAGATCGAACACTGCTGCGTATAATTGCCCCAAACAAGATGGAAACGCATTTCCAGCAATTTCCAGGATGGTACTGGTATAGAGTATATATGATTTATAATGATTTGATTTAATCACCAGGTTTCCAGCAGTTCTACTTCTTTGCGGGGAGCTGGGATTGAGAGCAGATTTTTGAGAAAGGCAAGCTGCTTGCAATCGTTAAATGAACAGATCATAGCAGATCCAAGCCACTGTTGGTCGAAGCTTCGATTTTGGCAAGGAATCAAAGAGAACCAATGCCAGCTGCCACTTCCCGGACTTTTCAAAGGTACTGAGAACAGAGCAGTAGCTCACCATGGTTGGCTGCAACGCCGCCTGACGGGGCTGATGCAAAGTGGGACCCAGCTGGTTTTTGTGTTCACCCATTCAAATGCAGATTTATCTACCAGATATCCAACAGTTTTTGTAGTTCGACAGCAACACAAAACTCAATAAACTACACATCTACATGTTTGGTGGTCAATTCATAATTGTTAATGGTTCCATCCACATTTATACCTCCGTACGGTCGGACAATACTGATAATACCTCCATAATTTACATTCATCTCGCCGTAGACAGCATATGGGATTTTCAAATATACACCAGGATGACTATAGATCAACAGCCTAGGATCAACAGTCACTGGAGGAATATCTTAATATATAAGGTGGTGCCCCCTAGCTGAGCTGGTACAAAAACCATACTTGAACTAGTTATCTTCAACTTCACTATCTCGGGTGCCCCGCCACCTTGCATATATACATGCATATATATATATATGGGTATATAAATTAGAATAATTCACTAGCCTGAAAAATCAACCATATTGGGATAATGCCCCTGAACCATCATTCCAGTGATGTCAATGTGAAATCATTATATAGTTCATCCATATACAGTATGTTTATGCATATATGTATATATATGTATATAATATGTATACATATGAAGTTTCCCAAAATGGTGGACCCCCAAAACCATAGGTTCGAATACTAAATCGTGGTCATTCATGACGACTGGATGATTTGGGGATAACCCAACTGCACCTCCTCAATGTCCTCCAAGATCCTCAGCGCGGCCGGCCACTGGGCTGCTCCAATGGCTGCATTGAAGCTGATGACGTTCGGCAAGACGTCAACGCTAACCATGGCGTCAAAGAAACCTGGCACCAAGGCGATGAATCGATGAAGAAACCCTGGCATTACTGGGGTATCCATGGGGCTGAGTTGGTTTCGAATTAATGGTGTGATTAATGGTGATTAATGATGGTTAAATATTGTTAATTACAGTATCTGGTTGGTGGTTGACAAAACCCCTCTGAAAAATATGAGTTCGTCAGTTGGGATCATGACATTCCCAATATATGGAAAAATAAATGTTCCAAACCACCACTTTGTACCGCTTTGTGTATCGCACTGTCTTGGGTTGGGAAGACAGTGCTTTGACTGTGGCGACTCTACGGTCAAGGCGGCTGCAAAGCCTGAATAACCGGACTTGGAGAAGAGGTCTCTCCAATCCGGCAAACATTGAAAAGGATCAACAGCGTAAACAACCAAGACCTGACACAGTGGCCGGCCCTGGCGGAAAAGGCAGTTGACACAAACCCCAAAAACTGGTAGAAGGGCATCAGAGCAGCAAGTACCCACACGGCACAACAAGACCCCATCATCATCATACCACTGTGAGAGCCATGCAGCTCAGGCCCACCCCCACATTCACCATCATCTCTCAGGCGCTTCCGCAACAAGCCACGTATATGAGAAAGCTGATTCTCAAACATAGCCTGGATGCACTGGTACTGGGTACTTTGGCCGTAAAGGTGTTGAGACTGGGCCTGCATCAGGGCCTGTAGAATCGAAACTTGTTGAGACTGATGGTGGGTGAACTCCAGAAACTGCCCGTCAATCTGTGTGTGGTTATGCATCAACAGTAGTACCCGACCAATAGCAGAGAGCTCAGGGTTGATGTTCTCCTTCACAACTCCAGACCAGTCGACAAACCTATCAAGGTGTTGTGAGACGAACGGATCTCTGCATGCAGGGACAACGCATGCAAGTACCAAACCATAAACACACTGAGACAGTGCAGCTCTAAGGTTGTTAGGAAGGGACATAGCACAAGAGTCTGCCCCTCCTTTCCGATCACCCAACTGGGAAAACGGCTGACATGAAAATCCCGCACTCATCACCGCAGCATGATTACACTTGGACCACACTCCAGCGATCACCTGGGGACAGCCAGCATCCCCGATCACATACTCACATCCTCCATGAACCTTGTGAAAGGTCACCATACGGGCACTAGAGTCAACAGCAACCATGGTTTGCACACCAACGGCATGAGCCCCATGTGTAGGACCATCCAACCCGCAGCAAGCATCGACCAGTTTGAAGAAGTCCTCCCAGGTATGCAGTGAGTGAAACAACACCTTAGTACCATCATCCACCTTCAGCAACGGAATAGAGAATTGCTGCACCAGGACAACATCCAACAGAGTGAGCTCATCAGGAACTCCATCCAAGAGGCCAGTAAACACCATACCAGTCCCATCGCGGACAGAGGACCAAGTGGCGCACATGCACAGGATCAAAGCCCACCATGACCACAGCAGAGAGCTACCTCCAGCGTCAACGTCAGCAAGATCCATGACGGTCCATGGCACAACCCGGTGAACGGAACGCTCTACGATCTGCAGGGCACGGCCGCACCTGCTGGTAGGTGTAGAGCCCACGGCTGTTCCAAACCACCAACCAGTTGTGGATTTTGTATATTTCATCTGGATATTATGTGTATACTACGAGAGATGAAATATTGGGGTTTGCAACGGGAAATCGCCAAAGTAAATTGGCATTTAAATTGCGAAAAGATCCAACTAAATCTAAATGGTGCATTTTCCAGCGAGCTACGTTTGATTACCAGAGGGTAGGTATCATCATTTTCTCAATAAATCTCAGCAATATTCAATCCATGGGGGTGGATTGATTTGACCGATACTACAACTGCACTGGCCAGGTGAAATCCGGCAGCGTGGACGTTCCGATCCCATTATAAATTTGATGAAGGGAAAGTTACAGAATTAAATTGTCAAACAACATTTCTTGGGTCGTCCCTTGGTGGGTTGATAGGGATTCCCCGAATGGATTGCGATACCCTCTGGTAAACTAACATAGCTTTTGAAAATGGCCATAGAAATAGTGGATTTACCCATAAAAAATGGTTATTTTCCATAGTTATGTAAACGTTTACCAGAGGGTAATCCCCAAATATATTGGTTCGTATAATCCCCCGTCATCAACAGAGGTTTTGAACACAGTTTCGCCAAGCAACCGATCGCCTTGGGCCACTGAGAATTCTGGAGGCAACAAGTCGTTGCGGCACTGAAACCTGAGTCAATCCTGCGGCCTCCTGGGGCATCCTGGAACTCTGGAGCTAGTGAGACCATATCCCACTTGTACAAAGTGGGGCCACCATGGGCCACCTAGATACATTCGTTGCTTTGGAACTACTGTATTATCATATATTTATAGATTCACTATGCTTAGATATGTGCCTGAATAGGCTTCATGGTGGATCCATACTTAGATGTGGTAAACAATAAATATCACTGGGGCGCCACACTTTGCAGGGTACCGATTTATACCGTTACACCGTTGCCTGAGCATGTAGATAAACAATCAGAAGAACATCAACAAAAGACTCCCAGGGTCAGCAATATGGGAATTTCAATCATATATATATAATACCTAGCGCATCAAGAAGCCACAAATTTGTAGGTATTTTTCCAAAAAAAAGTTTTTTTCTTCAGTTATGAAAAAAAAACGGTTTTTCTCAGAAAATATGTTTTTTTCTTTACCAGGGAAAAAACCCTATACTTTTTCTCACACTTGATGCCATGACATCTCATGATTCCTTCCCCTAGACGATTCAAACCCCTTTATTGATACCAGTCTTGGATCTATCCCTCTCAGTACCCTTCATGTTGATTATGCTTCCACCCCGCTGGCTTTGGCTGGCAGTTCTCACAAGAAAGGGCCCGATGCTCTTGGAACATGTCGGACAACATTAAGTGTGATCACAGTCAATCTGGAGTCGTTGGATGACTTTTTCCCAAGAACCACCCCTATAAGCATAAATTGAAACATGGCTGTATTTTTTTCATTGGAAAAAATGATTCTGGATTGCCAAAGTCCTACAAACAGCCGAAGAAAAGTATCGAAAAAAAAACAAAATCATGAAAAATCAATCGGCATTTTCAGTTTTTAATCATTTCGGATGACAATTTTAGGGTCTGTACCCCAAAAATGCCAAAAACCCATATTTAAGCCGTACTAAGCCGTACTAAACCCATATTTAACCCGTACTAAACCCATATTCTGATATAGGAAAAAAAATAATGTTTTTTGGAACCCATATTTAAACCATATTAAACCCATATTTAACCCATACTAACCCGTACTCAAAATATGTTTTTTTTGCTTCTGCGAATTGACGGCGCGATGTCGAGTTTCAAGGCTCCGCTTGTGGTTTTGCAAGATCGAACCGGTAGTTGCCCGATCCAGACAAAAAGAAAACAACGCAGATTACCGGAGCTATTGTCAATTTACTGGGTTCATATCTGAAAAGCTGACTTTTGAAATGCCATGCATATCCATTGTGACTTTTTGACTACCTCCAGTCCCGCTGAAGGGAAAATTCGCAGCATAGGAGGCAACTGCAGCCGGTGGAGAATGCACGCATCGTGTCTGATAACGCTTGCTTCGGTTTCCATCGCGCGTTCTGTCTGACAGATTTCACAAGTTGTCAGTATGAAATTGCTACATGTAATGAGGAGAAATTTGATACATATCCACGATTAGGACAAATTTGTGCAAATCCAACAAAAAACAAAATATGGGTTCTTTACAAAAATCCAGTTTTTCTCGAAAAAAAAGTTTTTTTCACTGGGCCTACAATTGTTTGGGTCTTTCAAGCTCCTGGTACATCATAATTTATATAATTATATACAATACATCATAATATGTATGTATATATATATATATAGATACGAATGTATATACTTTAGAGAAGGGGATGTTTCACATCTACCAGAATATGGTGAAGTGAGCGTTTTTGATCTAATTAGGCACTCCCAAATTCTGCCCCTGAAGCTGGTATTCCTGGACCCCAGTGTTTGAGGACTCTCACAACGACTTCAAAGAGCCTGCAAAGATTCCAAAGGAAGTTCTTGGAAACTGGTGGAACATGAAAGGGCAACAAATAATTGACGTGACAACCATGAACTTAGCATACAAATGTCATATTTAGTTGGCTTATCGTGCCAAGTAACACAACAAACCGGGCTAGAAACATCGATCGTACGCAGGTCATACATTGGGGACCCTTAGGGCACATATTGGTATATATTCACTGTAATCCATTCACATATATACTCAGGTAATATGTCCAATAGAATCGATTTTGTTTAGGCCTATGGGCCTATATATCATCCCAGGTCTTCCAAGCTTTCCCATCCAGCATTTGGGACCCAGAAACTGATCACATTGGGCTCGATGGATTCCATGGGCATCGCCGCAAAGGTCTGCAGTGCGTGCTGCCAGCGCTGCGCCTGCCCAATACCGGCGATGTTCGAAAAGCAACAAGGGAAGCTGCTTAGTCCACCGGAATCAGAATCCACGGAATTCACATCTAGAAGTATATGAAGTCAGCTACTACTCCGATCATAATCCATATATATATATACACATATTAAATAAATATGACATATATATATATATATATATTATATATACATATATTGATGATGAAAACTATGAATTCAGTACACCAAGCCACGCTGAACTATGTCTTTCCCCACCTGCCAGGTGAGGGTTGTTAGATTTTATGTCAGTTGCCTCCTCCTGCCTCGTCCTCCTCCTCCTCCTCCTCGTCCTCCTCGTCCTCCTTGTCATCCTTGTCGTCCTTGTCGTCCTCGTCGTCCTCGTCGTCCTCGTCCAACTGCGACCCGCGATCCACAGTGTTCTCTGCCGGACCTCAACCACGACCATCCACGCCCAGTGTTCCCTGCCGGACCTCAACCATGACCAGCCACGCCCAGTGTTCCCTGCCGGACCTCAACCACGACCAGCCACGCCCAGTGTTCCCTGCCGGACCTCATCTGCGAGTATCCATGCCAAGTGTTCCCTGCCGGACCTCATGTAGGAAGATATGGGACAAAGATAGAATGCCAGAAGATATGCCGGAAGATATGCCAGATAGAATGCCAGAACATATGCCAGAACATATGCCAGAAGATATGCCAGATAGAATGCCAGATAGAATGCCAGAAGATATGTCAGAATATTTGCCAGAAGATATGCCAGATAGAATGCCAGATAGAATGCCAGAAGATATGTCAGAATATATGCCAGAAGATATGCCAGATAGAATGCCAGATAGAATGCCAGAAGATTTGCCAGATAGAATGCCAGAACATATGCCAGAAGATATGCCAGATAGAATGCCAGAAGATATGTCAGATAGAATGCCAGAAGATTTGCCAGTAAGAAAATGTATAAATGTCATGGTGGGGATCACACGAAGTAAAGTAATTTTTAATACACCAAGGCCTTGGAGAGTGCAGTGGTCATGCTGTTGAAACCTGCCGAAGCGGCTGATCTTTACCCATCGGATAGCGGCCAGATACCCATTGAGGCTGGATTGGATATTTGAAACCAGTCCCCGTGCGACTTGAGTCTTACAAGATGAACTGTGTTTCTTTTAACAGTTTTTAACATGACTTTCTGGAATTTACAGGACCTGCAATGGTTCACTGAATTCTCGGGTAATCTCAAATTTGCGCACCGAAGAGAAAAGGTACAAAATGCATGGGTACTACCTGAAAATCCACAAAATTGACTATTGATGGGACATTTGTTTGAATTTGATTTGAACATAACATATGCACATGATGGATCATGATGGTGTTCTACTTGGAAACAAATGACCAGTTTCGCTCTTCAACAATTGACGCCAAGGTGCTCACCCGATTCGGTGCACGCAGACCGGTGGCGGCCATAACTTCGAAGAAGTGCAAAGCCAGGTGCCACTGATTCGCTTTTTCATAGGCACCTGGGAGTGTGGAGCCCTAGGGCCCTATGGGACCCAGGGGTCGGAATCGTTGAGATGGTTGAGCTGGTTGATTTCACTATAGCTTGAAATAGAATGGTTAACTGTTGGTTAGTGAAATAACTAACTGATTAGCCAAAATAGCTTAACTGTTGGATTTGGGGTCATGAAAAAACTATATAGATGGGTTTATCAACACTGGCATCGGGCATCATATGGGCATCACCGTGTTGGAATGAGGGGTAGCCCACAGTTATGGCCCGAAATACCAGTGATTTTTATAGTGATTTCTCTGGTCTATGGGGTTATCATCCCATCATATTATGGTAGTTATAACTGACTTATAACTTAGTTATAGCTGGTATTTCGGGCCATAACTGTACTCTTTACATCTCTTTAAAGGGCATTTGAAAACAACGCGGGCCCAGGGATGAGATCAACGATCTTTTTTAAGATCCAGGCGATCCAGGAAGACCCCCAGCGGGACGGCCTTCCGAAATTCAGTGGATACAGTAGACCTCATTGGTCAGTACCTTGCTGGTCTATATAGTCCATTACCTCATATTGGTATATAGACCATTAGACCAGTGGATATAGACCATTAGACAAATATAGTGGATATAATTCTAATGGTCTATATACTTACAATTGTCAGTACCTTGCAATCCAATCAGAGAGGAGAACATATAATGGAAACAGATGACCATTTTTTAATTGGTTGTGACAAAAATGAAGGACTCCAAAATTTGCCAATCCATTTTCTTACCACATCTATCTTATATACCTCTTAGAAGCGCCGACATGCGACTTGGCATCACCTCAACCATCTGATCCCGATATCCAAGGCACTAAGCAAAGCGTTGAGATTGATGATGTTGGGATCGACTTTAACCTTGGGCATGTCCTCGTAGAGGCTGTAGGCCTTCAAACATCTGTTGAGAGACATGAATGGAAGTTTCCGAAGTCATGGGGGTATCCCCCACCATCCAAGTCATGACCATTATTCTAGTAATGAAAGCTATGGTTTTCGGGATGCCCTCATATGAATGGTTACAACAGGGATCCAAAGGGTACTGAGTACTGAAACCATCTGAAACCCAAACATCCAACCCCGAGCCCAAAGCTGCTTTGAATACACGTATTGCTACTCCGTGGCAAGTATTGAAACAGCTTTGACTGCCGATTTTTCTGGATGCACGACAATGCCTAAAGGGATGCCATCGATCAATGCGTGATTGGGAAAAGGTCATGAAAATTACCCTCTGGTAAACTAACATAGCTATTGAAAATGACAATTAATTATAGTGGATTTTCCCACTGAAAATGGTGATTTTCCATAGTTATGTTAGTTTACCAGAGGGTACTCACAATTCCGTGCCCAACCCCTGCTGTACACTCTATAGACTCTATAGCGAAACAACTTCTGTCGATCTGACGCAAGCTTGGAATTTCGGCACCTCTTGCCAGAGCTTGGCTCTTCCACAGGCAGAGATTCCAATGGTGTACTTCTGAGCATCCAAATGGCCATCCAGCTGTACCACAGACTTCATCAAAGCCACGATGCTCTCGCCCTGCTGGGAAAGTTGTGTCAGAGCGTCGTCCAGACTCCTGCCGTTTCGACTGGAAGATGGGCTGAGTGCAGGATGTTGAAAATCTTATCTAAATAGTTGTTACTCCCAGCATATCTGAATGACGGATCAAGGATTGTGAAGAAAACATTGTTAATGATGTTGATGTGTTATTTACATTGAATCCTTGCGCATCTTTTTTCCCCCTCTGGGGATCCAATCTGTGTCAAGCGGATATTACTGGGCATGGTTTCTGAGGCGAAGGGTTAGTCAACCCAGTCAACGCTCATCTCCAATCTGCGCAGCCTCTAGAGCCCCACCTGCTTGATTTGATGGTCAATTTCAATTCTGGCATTTTCGACCCCAGGGATTCTCTCAGAGCTGCCCATTCCAACATGCTGCGACCCATCACCATAGCATGGCTGAGCTCGGCTCGCACGCATGGCTGGGGGGTTTGACGGCGACGGCTGAAGGTTCAGGTATGTTCAAGTGGGAAATGGCGCCAAAGGCTAGTTCATGAATGCTGTGTAATAGGCTAAACAAATGTTTCAAACAAATTGTTTGGGTGGTGTTTACATGGCTAAAGTTGGATCAACTGCCTTGAAAGCCTCGTCTTGATCCTGGAATCCATGTCATGTTCTCGTGGAACGGAGCCCCTGACTTGGGTCAAGATGTTCTTCGGCTCGTATCAATACCACAAAAATATGTGTACAGTGTGTAAATATGTGTGTATATATATACTATGTATGTGTATATATATATATGTACTGTAGCGGACTAGCACTTAGAATATACTACAAAGTGGTGCCCCCAGGAAATAACTTGTTATAACCTATGTTATAAGTTGAGTAAGTGGATTTCTAAGTTAGCGAACTTGGTTATAACTTGTGTAACTGATGTTGTAGATGTAACTGAGTTGAGTAGTTATAACATGATTTAAGTAACTTAAGGGGACAACATAAAAATAAGATATGGGGAAGTTAGCAAAGTTAGGTTTTGTTGTGTTGTTTTTTGAGTTCGCATGTTTTGACCAGTGAATATAGGAACATTTGGCATCCTCGAAGCTGTTTCTGATCAAGTTTGTGGGGAAGGCAGCATCTTTTGGGTGGAGATGGCAAATGCTTGCAGAGCGACTACTGAAAGTGGCTCTCAAGAAACCTTGAGACATAGCGCGGACCAGCAGGACTGACAGACGACACTTGCAGAAAAAATGGCGCTTGGGCGGGTGGGGACTCGCTGCATGCAGAGGGGATCCAACTTGGGTTCTATAAAACTATGATATATAGTTTTTGCTCGATGGAAAACGAGCAAAAACACAATGTGTTCTAAATGTGTTCTTTTGTGTTCTATAATATTTTACCCTATATAGACCGCATATGTGTTCTATCCCCCAAACCCTAGAACGCGTATGTGTTCTACGCCAAAACCAATGAACGCGCATGTGTTCTATACCCCAAGACATAGACCGCGTATGTGTTCTACACCATAAAAATAGAACGCGTATGTGTTCTATATGAAATGTAAAAATGTTGTTTTCCAATCGGTATTTGACCACCAAAAATATCATTCCAAGGAAATTTCGTGATCTTTTTGCAGCATTTTGTCCTCCAAAGTTCTGCTGATCCCATGGCAGATATGGCTGACGCTGAGCAGACGCTAGCAGCCACGCAGCCTGAAGCTGGTGTGCAGCTTGGTCACGCCTGCCGTGTGCAGCTGGTGGCGCTCGACGAACCAAAATGACATTTTCTGCATGCCTTGATGAAAAAAAAGCTGCTTGAGCCACGTGTCCAACCTTCAACCGTTCAATTCGTATCAAAAACATGAAAATCTAGGCATAAACGGCAATTTCTACATTCTAAAAACTTAGCAAAGTTATAACATAGTTATAAATCAACTCATAAATGGCCTAACTTAAGTTATGTTAACTTCAAACTATCTTCCATAACTCACTTATATATTGTCTAACTTCATCTTAACATGGGGGCACGACTTTGTAGTTTTGTTTACCCTACACTTAGAATATGGTCATTTTTGATTTAACTTCTTGCACTTAGAATATTGCACATAGAATAATATTCTATGTGCAAGAAGTTAACTCATATGGGAAGAGAAAAACTAACAAAACATTAAAATGGTTTAAACCATATGATAGGGCTGCAACGGTTTGCCGAGCGGTTTTGCCGAGTGGTCCGCTAGCGCCTGTAGCTCGCAGATGGCCTAGATGCCCTCCTCCTGAATGTGCTTCATCCAGATTGGCGAACCCCGTGCAGTTCGATCGATGCACTATGCGCTAGCTACTCTCCGCTTGCTGCAACCAGGCATCCAGCAGCCAATAGCAGCCAAATGTCCTCATCCTCAATTGAAACTGTCCTAAATCCTAGGGTTTGCTGAGCATATCGTAGATCTCAGCCTGTGATTTTCAGCATCCCCACTGCCACCCAAAGGGCTCGTACCAGAGGAGCCTCCACCTTAGCCAGGATCTGGACATGATGTGAGTCAGACCACCCAAATACTTATTTGCAAACTGGTCAATGTCCAAAAAAAAATGTCGTACAATTGGCTAGTTGAAGCTAGATTTCTAGCCGTTTCTAGCTACTTGGCGATTGTAAGAACTCCCATTGCAAGCAGATCATCTTGAGATCAAGACTGCCCCGGAATGGCTTTGAACTGGAGGCGGCAAGTCTGCCAGCTGTGAGGTTACCTGCGAAGAAACAGCTCTGCTACCTTCTGCTTTCCAGCCAAACCAGGCTTGAATCGCTTAGTTGATCAAGACTCAGAGTCTATCAGATTCTATGACTTTGAGGATGGCGCATCCACTGCAAAGCCCAGTGAAGAACTTTACGCCGGAAGAGGATGAAGAGGCACCTGGGCTATGTGCGATTGGGAGTCTCCAAACAGACCACCAGACGTGGCACCTCAGGTGATCTTCAGTGTGATCTTCATTGCTTGATTTTTTTCATAATCAAGGGGATAAAAACATGATAAAAACAACGCATGCAAAACCACATGCCCTTTGGTAATTTGACATAGCTATTGAAAATTGCCATTGACATAGCGAGTTTTCCCATAAAAAAAAATCGTGATTTCCATAGTTATGTTAAATTACAAGGGGGTGGACTTAAGCATGTTTTCTTCAGAGTTCTCAGATTATTTGGCTGACAACTCATGTAAGTCCCAAAGATTGTCCCAAAGTCATACCTCATGTGATTGGAATTTGACGCGGATGCTTTGAAAGACCAACCTGCTATGCCTGACTTCCTGGGACACGTTTCATCGTTTTTCAACTTTCGTTGACCAAAAAATGACTCTAAGATGGTTTCGAGTGACCGCCGTGACGCAAATTTTTGGAGGCCGCCACACATCCTATGCAAAAAGACACTTGAAACAGCCGATTTCAGCTCTTGGCGTGCTGTAGGATCACAAATTCCCATCCCTCTCTAATAAAACACCCCTAAATGTACCTCGACGCGGTGACTGATCCGAGTGCTCATCCGCCTGGCCAGTCGGGTGGCCAGTACAGGTGAAGGTGGAAGGCAGGACCGATGGTGCTAGAATTTGTGTTCTTGCATGGAACGCCGTGGACACGGCTAAGTCAGAAAAAGCAGGACCTGGACTATGAAACCCAATGGAAGCGCTTCAACGCTTACGGTTTGTAGGCATAAAAACGCTCACTTCCAGGAGCCTATTTCCAATGGAACGCTGGTACCCAAACTACTACACATATGTGGTTGATCATTCACCGTTCCCACGGAACGCTGGCTTTTACTGATGCTTCAGACTTGCCCAAAACACTTGAGCAAATCCCCATGTGAACTCTGCTTCTCAAGGTACTCCTGCCAGAATCTCAGGTGCAGTGTATTTATTTTCAGATTGGAACTCCGGATTCGCAAGTCAAGTTTGGACAGAAGGGTTGCATATCGAAAACTGTGGTGGAAAAGGGTGCATGTATACGAGGTCCGATACGAGGCCTCTACGAGGTCAATACGAATGGAGTTACGAATGGTTTGGTTTGTCCACCCTGAGTCTCCAAAAATAGTAAATTTACTAATTTTCAAAATTTACGTAAATCGAAGAATTTAGGTTTTAAAAAAGCTTAAAAAATCAAAATTAGTAAATTGATTTAGGTATGTACCTAAATCAATTTAGGTTTATACCTATTTTTCTTCATTTTTTGGAAGCTGTTTTTTGTATATGTTTTTGTTGAAAACCATACAAAACTAGTTAACAAATGTTTTGGAAATCTATAATTTTGGAGATGGAATCAATGCATTCAGGTTTATGATTTGTTCTTTTTTTTGGTACAAGTTTGAGGTGTAAATAAAATGATCATGTAAGAAAGTAGCTCACCATGCCCAAGGAACTTGTACTCATTGAAGATGTTTTTAAGCAAAAGGACTTCAAGACAATGCTCAAATATAATGGCTTAAGTAAGAAGACTCAAGTAAGTGGTTTCAAGTGAAATCACTGGTGCATTTTTTTGCCATCACCATCTAGTGTATTGAGGACCTGGCTGATTACTTGTGGACCATGCCTTACTTGAGTGTTACTTGGGATCCTGGCTGGTTACATATTGTAGTCGTGTTTTTGCCTATTGTACCAAGTCAGGTCTGGTACAATAAGCAAAAACACCATGTCAGTGATTTCCCCCGAAAAATATATGGAGCTGGTGTTCTTGTATAAGAATAGTATTGGGCCAGGCGCGGTGCAATCAGAAAAACACACCATTTGGGTGATTTTCTGCAAAAAATAAAGATGGGCATTGTGTTTTTGCTTGTTGTGCCGGTTCAGGTTTGGCACAATAAGCAAAACATATCTTACTTGAGGGAATTGGAGATATTGCACTGTTTCTGTTTTCTACATAAGCACTTGAGAAAATGGGAGGCCTTTGCAGATTACTTTTTATTACTTGAGGATTTGCCACACCAATTGTCTTACTTGTGCTACCTGTATTCTATTGAACATGGAAGGTACTTCACTGATTTCCTTGATATGAACTAAGCTAAAAATCATATTAGGTTTTGATGTTTCTGTGATATTGGTGATTATACTCAAATGAAAGTACACTGGTTTTGGTGTGTTTTGGTTGGTTTTGATGTTGTTCTGTGTTATTTTTGTTGATTTTGGTCAAAATCCTCATGCACTTTTTATAAACTTTTTATGCGCTTTTTATGCGCTGTTAAAAAGCGCATAAAAAGCGCATACACGTTTTTAAAAAGTGTATACACTTTTTATGCGCTTTTTAAGGGCGCATAAAAGGCGCATAAAAAGCGCATAAAAAACGCATCAAAAGTGCATAAAAAAGCGCATAAAAAGTGCATAAAAAGTTCATAAAAAGTGCATAAAAAAGTGCATAAAAAGTGCATAAAAAATGCATAAAAAGTGCATAAGAAATGCATAAAAAGTGCAAAAAAGTGCACAACAAGTGCACAAAAATCGCATAACAAGTGCAAAAAAAGAGCAAACAATGCATAAGGATATCAGTGAAGATTTGGTTTGCAATAAAACACATAGAAAACAACAGCAATAACACATCTAGTACAGCCATGCCCCAAGTCAAAGGAAGGCCAAGACCTTCTACAAAGGCTTCAATGCCCACAAGGCCAAAATGGCGACCAACTAGAAAAGAAAATATGAGTCACACATGAGTTACTTGAGCCAATATTGAAACTCAAATTCTACCCATGGAAAAGACCCACAGACTGCAACTTACACTTGGACATGCTCAAGTAAAAACAAGTAGACACAAAAACATCACACAAGTAGCAGAAACATCTCTCAAGTAAAACAGTTGTCGCAAGTAAAAAACATCAAAGAACAAGTTCAAACAAACACAAAACAGTACCCCTAATATAAGGAATCGAAAGCAAAATCCAAGATGCACAAGTAAACACACAACTGACATGCCCAAGTGCAAAAAGCTCAAGTAACACACACAGGTCCCAAAAATAACCAGCAAATAACCACACAAAACTAACATGCCCAAGTACAAAAAAAAGCTCAAGTAACATACGCAAGTCCAACAGAGAAAGCGGCAGATAGAAAACAAACATGTTCATCAGAAAAAAATATCATCAACACACAGCCATCACCACAATCAAACCAAAATAAAACATGTAAAACAGTATTACAATTGAACAGTGCCAACAAGACACACCATTCAATATGTTAAACAACCAACAGCAAAAACTTTAAAAAAACACAATAAAATCAATCAACAAGTATTAACTTATCTATGTGAAAAACACGACAAAAAATTAGGTATATACCTAACTAAATCAATTTAGGTATATACCTAAATCAATTTAGGTATATACCTAAATGTTTTTCAATAGTAAATATTTACTAAGCTAAGTAAAAATTTACGTAAATTTTTCGACCTAAATCCAAAAATTTACGTAAATTTTTGCCGACCTAAATTTTACTATTTTAGGAGACTCAGGGCAGGAGCTAGCTTGCCATGAACTTCTGAAGCAAGATTGCTACACTGGAGCTGGCACTACTGATTCTTTCCCCCAACGGAGCTCTGGCTAGGCAGACTTTTTGGGAAATCGTCCCCGCACTTTTTGAACAGGCACACCTTTCACGACCTACTGTACTTGCATTTTTTTCCATTCATTCGCACTGCTTTTGTTCATTTACCATGTATGTCCTTCATTTTGCATTCATGTTCTTAGCTTCTTGTATTCATGTCCTTTCATCTACTTGCGCGTCTTTCCATTTTCATGATCCAAGGTCTGGCATGTTTAGTCCAATGTCTGTGAAACGCATACTAAACGCTGAAGGTACCGCCTTCACCTGAATGCTTCTACGAGGGAACAGCTCTATTTTATACCACCGGTACCAACTACCAACATAAACCGTCCACTCAAGACATCTCTGCCCTGAGTTCTGCCCTGCACTGTGCCAGTCACTCTGCTAGTCACTCTGCCCTGCCTGGTGCAGCCACGGCTCCATCTTTTCCTCAGGTACGAGGATGTTTGTTGATGTACTTGTTTCTGTACTTGCTGATGTACACGGGGCCTTCAGTATGGTTTGAAGGTGTTCCCTTAAGGGGGTTGTAGCCTAGGAAAGCATTATGAAACAATCTTGTGATATAGAAGCTGATGCCATATGTTGATAGACGTCCTGATGGACAACAGATCCAACCGAAAGAATTTGGAAACTGAGGAAACTCAATGATTATCTTGTTTCCCTTTGGGTTAGTACCAACGGGGATCACTACGGGGATCTTGCTTGTCGATTCTTCACCTGCAGCCTGACCTGCTCATATAGATTCTCCATTTACCGTCTGCAATCCTGATGCTGACGTGCCAGCACAATCAAACTGGTAAACAAATCAATGGGAAAATTTTGAACTTTGATGCCCTCTGCCCCCGGAAAATCTTTGAGAGGTCCTTGCCACCAAGAAACCCACTCCGTCAGAGGCTCCTTCTGTGGCTCCTTCTGTGGCTCCTTCTTGTCTTCCGCCTCCTTCAAGCAGCTGTTCAACCATTGGCAGAATGCTATCACAATTTTCTATCAGGAGCCCCAAAACACTCTTCCACGCAAGACATTTCTGCCCTGCAAAGTGAAAGTCAAAGTGAAGTGATTGGCGGAAGATAATGCTTTGATCAGCACCTTGGCAGTCGCCTCTCTCTCTGCTTCCTCCTTGAGCTCCCACGTCACCTTTTGACCATCCGATGATGTGGCGATGTCAATTCTCTTCAAAGTGATGGAATAGCAGTTTTGAAGCCATTTTTCAATCAGATGGTTCAAAAATCACTGCCTGCTCACTGCCCCGCCTTTTCAAGGCCGTCTCGCTCCGGCAGCGCTTGAGGCACCGTAGCCCCTTCTGAAAGGCGGCGCGCTTTCCGGCGCTTGTTGCTGCCCTGCACCATTAGTGCGCCGTTGCTTCAGGCACGTAGCGTCGCTGTTGGTGTTGGTGTTGTTGTTGTTGCTGTTGCTGTTGTTGTTGTCGTTGTTGTTGTTGTTGCTGTTGTTGTTGCTGTTGTTTTCAGTAATTACAGTACATGGTACTATATATTATGTAATCATTCCATTATACTATACAGTATGAGAATCAGTGAACAACTAATAAACTTAACAAAGCAACCAATAAATATAAATGAAACATTGAAAAAACGAAGAACACCATTAAACAAAAAAACATAAGAAACCACAAAGAAAAACAACGTTTTTTTTTTTTGTAACATTATATTCTAAGTGCATCCGTTTTATATTCTAAGTGCACCGTTTTATATTCTAAGTGCATCCGTATACACTTAGAATATTTCCATATTCTATCTCCAGGGAGTTAAGACATGTTAAAAACTTTAAAACGTAAAATCTTTTAAATTCATATTCTAAGTGCTAGTCCGCCACTGTATACACATTCAGTGGCTTGTGTAAATCATTCCAGACATAGGAGTTCATAGGAATGCTTAATCGGGACATCTAGACACCCCTCGTCACCCAATTTCAATGTTGTATGACAGCAATGCTTGGAGCAGACTGATACAGGGTGTCCGGGGGCTTTAGGTGAAGGCTTCTTGGTGGATGTTCTGTTTCTTTTAAGATCCCGGTATGATCCTTATATAACTGGGGATATTCCAAATAGATATGGGTAACAGATGGTAACAGTTAATTATTCCATTATATCCCAGACTTTGGCTGGTTTCCTAGCCCAAGATCAGGGTATCAATGGGTATATGATGCTGATGTCAATCAAGCATAACTGTGATTCTACTGTGTATATATATATAATCATATATATAATATATATATATATATTTATACCTCAGTATGGCGTGGGGATAGCAGATATATCCTGCTGATAAGGATGTATGACCAACACCAGTGGCCTATCCTGAAGAATGTACCACTGCTGCTAGTGTTCAAGTTATTTGACTGTTTTTTGAAGAACCCGATATGTGGGTTATGAATGGTTATGAATCATCTGCCGATCCACAGCCTGCAAACGCTACATCTCCCACATACCCCACTGGGCAGCCCCAACCACAGCAGTATCTGTGACCACCAGAATGCAGTGACCTCTTCTCACTGGGGCATGGCGATACTTTGTGGTGCAGTCAAATACATCTCACCCAATCTATATGGGGATGAGGCAAGGAAAACACTACTTATTTCTACTTATCGGATCTTATGGGAACACCTGTTTGTTTTTATGGAAATGAACATCAAATATCTATGTAAACATATATTTACCATTATTATTTACCATTTGCCAGCGATTTTGATCACAATAGCACCACGGTATGCCCCGTACAGTACGAGTTGCCAACCCAATTTTGGGCCAATCTCATCACCGCAGGGCCGAGCAAAACTGAGTGCCCCAGGGCCCCAGCAAATGGACGCAAGGAAAATCGTCAAGTAGAGTTCACTCCTGAGTTGATGACAACGATGACCCATGATGACCCTCGAAGCTTGATGAAGCTTGTACTGCCCACATCCAATAAGATCAATAATGGGGGCAACGCCAAGAGGAATCCATGAAAGATATGGGAAGATGGGATCCCCATCGAAATCAGTAGCTACAGGAACCATCGCCAACAGCAAGGTTCAGCAGTAAAACTCGGCTGAGATCATTGCAATGATCCAAGGTTTCCTCCTTTCCATACATTTTTACTGCTTTAGAATGCTTTAGACCTCGAATTTCTACGTGACAAGATCAACCACTCTTAGCCATCCAACCCTCCAACCCTTCCAGTCCTCAGGTGTCTATCCCAAGGCACGTTTGGCCAATGAGATCCTCATAATTTGCCCAGGTTACATGTAATCTCTCAATCATATCCCCAAGTCGAAAGGTTCAATCCTCATCCTGTACACATGTGGCTGGATCCAACCCCCTTGAGTTCCAGCTTGGAGCTTCCCACATCCTCAGCATGCCTTGAAAATACCTATCCCGCTTCCCATCTTCCCTGGCTCCAACGTAAACAAGATAAATCCAATGATCCTACTATAGTTCTGTGGGATATAATATATCAATATAATATCCCCCAATAGTTATATTATATCAATGGATTACTGTTAAAGTTATATCTATAGTGGAATATATGATTTGATCCCACTATAATGATATCAACTATCAATATCCCACTATAGTTATATGATATCCCATGTTTCCAACCAAAAAACTCATCATGAATCTTGGTCAATCTTTGATACTCCACAAAAAATCTCATATGTTATAAAACAAATGCTGGTTCTTTTCCATGTCATCTTCTACAGCAAAAACACTCGCTTGGATCGTCCACTATCCAATCACTTCTTAGATGGGCCATGGAGTTACTTAACTAGTTAGTAAATGGATTATTTCATTGGGATTTTTTTGGGGTAACAAAACCCCACTTACTAACCAGGAATCGTTACTCCCATGGCCCATCTAAGTTGGGGATGGTGATGCTGAACTCCGCCATCGCCCGGCACTGCTCGGCATCCCGGCTTCGGATCGCCCAGGGGATGCGCTGGGAGTGACTCAAAGAGCGCTGGCGCATCCAGCAGCACCAAGCGATCCTCGACAAAGCGGGACTCCGAAGCAGGTGGGGCCGGTGGTGCCCCAGTTCGCAACGGCTAAGTTGGTGGAGATAACTCCAAAAACTGCTGGGTTATGGTAGATATATTGAAGTCTAGTTACTATAGTTACTATGGTTCATAAAAAGGATGCATGTGGCCGCAGCGTTCTTCTTGCCAATTGCCCAAACTTGTTGTATTTGCATCTCTGTACTTTGCAGCTAACTAAACAAAATCTGATGTATCACATGACATAGCCAACTTTTAAGTGGGGCACCACCCAAAACATGATGAGCTTCTGTGATTTTAACATTCTTCAGTTGAATGGAAAAAATGAACATTGATTTTCAACATATTGAAAACCAGGATAAAAACATGAAAACTTGGGACCCATACTTCATTTGAGTGCAAAAATGGGGGCGCCTGCTTCCATTGCCATTGAGACACATTCAGAAACGCTGGTTTTGCCATCACACATGGGGATGTAGTGATATTTGTTTAATTGGGACTTACTTCGGTCCGATGTGTGTCCAAAAATGGGTGATACTCTACAATTCAAAAAAAAAACACTTTCAATGGGTCAATGATGGTTTAAAAGCTGGGATGTTTATGCACCCTATTATCAAACAAACCAATTTGAATGGTGATTCACTTGATTGCCTCGCTTCAGGATAAACCAAAAGGCTTGTTGTTCAGGGATAAGTTGAGGCCATTGAATCCAGACTGTCTCCGAATTCAACAACGCACATGCAGTTAAGTGGTGGATGTATAAATTATTATGTATATACTATATACTATATTATATACATATCATATACATTTTTTAATAGGTATATATATATAATTATAGCAGTATAAATGTATGTATATATATATGCACACTATGTCTTGTTAACAGAAAACACACATATATATATATATATATAATGTACAATATATATTGTATCATATTAGCACATCTGCAGAGCCAAGGACTCCGAGGCAAGGTCTTGGCCATCACCCGACCCCGCAGCTCCAGGGCCCATGCCATCGTAACACAAAGGTCAACACCCGAATATGATGGTCCTCCTCATGGTCACTCCAGGGACTTCTGAAACATACACAAAATGGGGGGGGGGAGGTTGTGCCCAACATCTTCCAAAATGACAACTGTCTTGTGAACAAAATGGGTATTAAACAATTACCAAGCCGTGGGACAATTTGAGGCAGAGCTACATGGGAGCGGGTTGAAACCCTGGCAAAGAAGTGAAGATCCTAAAAGGGTTTTGACTGCGGTGGTTTCAACTCATCCCAAAAAATATGAGTGAAATGGGATTATCATCCCAACTGGTTTGTTCAGAACAACATTTCCAGCTTAATAGATCATGATACTCCCGATAATCTCCAAAATGTTCAGGATAGTACAGCCTCGGAAGCATCAACAGGGGTGTCTTATAGCCTTAGCGACTGCTCAACGAACAGAAACCAGTGGAGAGACCTGCGTAGTAGTGGACTATGGCCCAAAGATCTACAAACGTGTGATTCATTAATCATTTCCTCATAGAATCTCCAAAGGGGACCCCTACAACCTCCTGTGCAGAATTTATACATGAGTAATTTGATGAAACGTGGCCAAAAAATACAAACAAATCCAATCTCCGTGGTGAAAGTGGAGGGAACAAAATGTGGAAGTTGGAAGGTTCAAATCATCACATTTCGACACACTGCACGACAAGAATCGGTCTGCATCATCATACAATCCTCAACTCTGCGCCTCCGACTAAATTTACCCATGATGTGCAAAAACTGATTGAAGCAACCCAACCATTCTGCAATCCAAAAGCTTTGCTTTGTGTACCCTCAAGCACAAGCACTCAAGTGACACAAGTGTTATATTGCAAAATTATCACAAATGATGTCCTTTTAGGAGAGCCAAAGGAGTTTCGCTGGTGGCCAGACTTTATCATCATTAACTCAGAAAACATGGTGTAAACCACAATCTTGGTTGGTGGTTTTAACCTTATCGAAAAATATTAGTCAATGGGAAGGATTATCCCATATATTATGGAAAATAAAAACTGTTTGAAACCACCAACCAACAATTTATCCCTGTTCCTCATCAACTATACAATTGGATGTCTGGATATCCATCATTCCCACAGCCGCTTGTCTTAACAACCGGATACCAACCCCAGCTGCCTTCAAGAAAGGTCTCCGCAGAATGAATGCCCAGGGGCACCTGGTGATGAATGGCCTTGGGTCAATAGATTACACTCTGGTAAACAAACATAATAATTACTTATGCCCAGGTTGCTCTGCCATGCAATTTATATTCATGTTTACAAAGTATTACACAAACAACATATGAAAATGAACATACATGAAATAATTAAATAAATTGGAATACATGTTCTGACCTGTTGAGTGTCCGTCCACGCCAGACGGTTGTGAGACATCTCTCGGAGTTCCACATGACAAGCAGGAATCACCAGGGCCTCGTAGATTTATGTGTATTCACCCATTCTTTTGTACATTCATCTCCCTAATTTTAACCAAATGTGGAGGTATAACACAACACAAACCAGACATTGAATCAATTGTCAAATTATGTCAAACAATATCAAATCACATCATTTGTTTTGTATCAAATCGTTTTTTTGGTTGGTGGTTAAACATGGTATTGAACCATTTTTTATTCCTTAGATCCCGTCGAATCCTAGCGGCTTCCTTTGGTGACCCCGGCGAACCCGCCTTGAAATGGCCGGTGGACGAGCCTCACTCAACATAGCTGACATAGCTATGGAAAATGGATGAAAATGGTCCATTTATGGATGATTTATGATGATTTACCTAGTTGAAATGGTGATGTTCCGCTATGTTAAATAACCAGAAGGTCAATTTGCAACAATAATTTTTGATGATACTTAAGAAGATTGAGGATTAAATTTGAATGATATCCCCATACACAATTTACATATGATAATATATGTGATCAGGGTAATTCCAAGCCTGTCATTGATGTCCGTTTTTTTTGAACTATGTGTTCTCTGTTTTTCCTCGTATCTGAGCTGCCTTAATTGCTTACCAGGTTTTTAATCATGTTCTCTCCAACTTGCGCCCTCTACAACACACGTTTTGAACAGGCATCTCCAAACATTGCAACTACCTCTTCAGTAAACACGTTTTTCGTAATTTGTTTCCCTGAGCTGCCATTTCTCTCAGCCTATTCTTTGGGCATCTCAAGCTGTAAACCATGTTTTCCTCAACTATTTCTCGAATGACATACTGTGATTTGTGATGTCATTTTTCCGAAGTATTTCTCTCTGGGTTGCCTGTTTTTTGATAAGTGTTTCTTCGGACAAAAAAACACTTTTCACTGACCTACTTTGTCGTCTCTGAATTACGTTTCTCCCCACTGCATGTTCTGGGCTGCTTGGTCACTGGACCGCATCTCTGATGCAATTCCTCGCTCTGCTATGCGCGCCTACTCTTTTTGCCTAGCTGGGGACCATATTTGTGCCTGACTTTCAAAAAGTCTTGTTTGTTATGCTGCGATTGCAATGTCGCTTAGCAGCCTCCGTTTGCAATCTGTTTTTGCACAGGAGCCTCACATATTTATATAACAGTATCCTTGGCGCACCTGTTACAAAGTGTTTAAGAACCTTGAGTTGCAATCCCTGAAAGCATCAAAACCGCACCTGATAGTTACACTGCCGACTTGTTTGCCCTGTTCCAAGGCGGTCGGCTTTGATATGTTTTGATGCATTGTTTTGAACAACTGCCTGGCTATCTAACGCATTCACGCGAATTAGTGACACTTTCTCATGTTCAGTTGCTTGCGCTGGGTTTGTCAGGGGTCCAATAAGGCTTGGCTCCAAATGATTGGCAGAAAACTGTTCTTTGGAAATCAAGTGCCTTCTCCTCACGCGATGCAAGCCAAGGACAGAGATGTGGTGATAAAAAAGTGGCTGGATCACGATAGCTATGATATACAAACCTATAGGCCTATAGTATTCAATAGTTACAAAATGTCAAGATTAATATTAAGATTCATGTAGACTATATGATTAGGTATTGTGATGTAGTTTATGCCCTTGAAGCATACTTGTCCTTTCCACCGGTGCCATTTCTTTCTCCAAGCCCTGGGCCGTTCTCGTGAAAGAAGGGTGACAGCAGCGTTGAGAGTACCTCAGATGTACTGGTCATAGCATGCCGCCGGGAAAAGTAGTAGTTTACTGTGAATCATGGTGGGTTTTACCATGAAACACTGGATTTTCATTGGATTTACCCTGTTGTACTCCAACATAGCTATGGAAAAACATCGTTTGAAATAGCTATTTCAAGTACAATGAGGCCATTTTCCATGACATAGGCTATCTTCGTTTACAAGAGGTTCATGAGTAATGCATCAAATCCATGGAATACCATGACAGCGAAGAAGCTGGATGCAATGCATCCAGTTTTGAATAGTATGCAAATCAATTACCAACTCTAAAGCAAGTCTGAGTTCCCCCATGTGAAAATTGTTCAGTGCAGTTGAATGACAAACCCAACCGCATGACATACAGTAAACGACACCAAATAGATGTGAATGACACAAAGGATTTGCATCCGAAGACAATGTCTGCAACTTACAGTACAGGATATATCAGAACCACATGTTCATCTGTTCCAACTCAAGGTTTGCATTCTCCCAAGCCTTAACCCATGATGCCCTTCAAAGCAAGACAAACTCTGGCGGACTATCAAAGATTCCTCCATCAAAAATCAACCAAGTTTGGCCCAGTTTCCTTTTTACAAAGATGTCTCGCAGATTCCTCCATCAATATTGCCCGACTTAGCCCCCTTGTCTTTTTCTTGGACAAAGTGGTATATCAAACAAATATCCAGCAAATATCCAGCAAAATTGAACAAACAAAAACTGCTAAGCCACGTTTATTGTCCCAATGGGATCTTTCTCACCCCAACGAACCTGTCCATCTGTTCCCCTGTGCTCCCACTAGGCATAGCGGACCGTGGAGCGCCCCACTTTCTGCGCGCCAAGACTGGCAACGACCAGGAAATCACGCTCGCTCTCCAGCAACAGGGGATCCACCTGCAGCACATTGACTTGGCTTTTAGACAGCATAAAATGTGGAGAGTTCACAACAAACAATGGCAATTATGGAACAACATTTGGGATTTATAGTGGGTCAAGTGGTTTCGAACCCATTATCCGAACCAATGTGTGTATCGAACCCATTATCCGAACCAATGTGCCCCCCAAATGCCCCCCCATACTATCATTATGATTCAATATTAAGTGGGATGCACCCAAAGTAGGCACCCCATTAATGAAAAAATCAGTTCTTCATGATCTAGTGAAAGGAGTTCTCCCTCGGTCATTCAACTTGGCAATGGAAAATCACCGAACTTATCAGCTGGATCCCACTCGTTAGACACAAAAATGGGCCCATTGAAGACAAACCAAGAACATGTTGGGCTGGGGCGGAACGAAGTTTCATGGGATTCTCCCAACAACTCCCAACGGCAAATAAGACCCATGTGTGTGTTTGTGTATTTACTGTCAAAAGAATGCACTCCCCACTGCCAATTGCTGCTGCAATTCACAATGGTGCAGTATGATGCCAATAAGAATGGGGTATCAACAAATCCCAACCAGCTTAGTTCTGCCGGTACAGAAGAACATTTACAGTAGCGGCAGTAGCGTGGCCCCAGCACCTATTTCTGCACATGGCTTGAAAGAAGCCGCTATCTAAACCATCCCATTGGTACAAGTACCATATCGAACCTATCACAAAAAAAATCCCTCTGGTTATGTAACAGTTCGCCATGGTATAGATGGCCCTAATCGAAATAGATGGTTTACCGAACTAAAAAATGGGTGGATCTTTCCATGGCGAACTGTTAGTCATAACCAGATGGTATATCTAAGTGAAATTCACCAACCCATAGGATCCATGTATGCTATATATGGTAACATGATGGATCCCATCAATATATATATACCCCAGTCATGTTAGCATATATACCAGCACCATGGATCCTATGGGCAATGATAAAGAATCCCTTTTACCAATCCTTGAATATCACCCATTGTCTATTGAGTCTATTGCTATTAACCAATCAACAGGCATAAGAACCCCCCCGATCCCCCGCGTCGCGGGAACCACGCGGGAACAACGTCCCGGAACCACGCGGGAACGACGTCCCGTGAATCGTCACCTGATCACCACAAAGTCGCAAGTCTTCATCCATGAATCGACACCTGCAGAAACTGGCAAGACATCAAGCCATCTGTTCAAACCAAGCAACAAGGGATAACAAGGGTCAATTGGATTTCAGGGTGATTTCAGTTGGTTTGGATTTGAACTACATGCTATGACGAAGCAAGTCCGTTTTAGAAAGGGGAGTTATTGGGATTCCAAAGCACCAACAGTCACGGAATGGGCAGAGATATGAGTTTTTGTTGCGATGGTTGCAAAGGTTGCAAACATTTAACAACCATGAAACCACTCTATTAAACATGTTGAAACACAAGAAACAACAAGGCAATGTAAATGATTACTAATATGGTGGGTTCCTAAAATCGGGATACCCCAACTCAGATCATCCAGCTGTCGCCTGCTGAAGGGCCCCGATGGTTTCTTCGCCGCTTCCTTGCCATCCCTGGAGCGAAAAGATCGGAAAAACATGGTGATGAACCTCAAAATAAACCAACAGTAGTGTGGATAATTGTGTATTATATATTATATATATATATGTATGTATGTATATAAATATAAAACATAGTATGTACGTGCAATCTTAAACACGAACAGTTGCCAGCATAATTCACACTAACATTACTGTAACACATTTATGGTAAGGTTGAAACGGATTACCATTACATTTGTGTTTTTTTGCGGCTCAAAATTGCGCAGAATCGACTTCCAGATGGCTCATGTGGTCAGGGGATGAGAATAGTGATGTTTTAGCAGGCCACGTCACCAGCGAGTTTTCCCGGCACGTTTTTGCAGTAAGCCCAATATGTTGAGTTATTTTTTCACAAGAAATGGTAAAAACATGTAAAACAACTCCAAACAGGCTTCAAGTTCGATTTGGGCGCCAAGTACGCGGAAATGGCCGGTTTCTTATTCCTATCTATCTGGATAACCTAGAATACTTCACTAACCTGACAAGTTCGGCCATTTTGGGATGATTATGATGATTTACAATGACGTCGCAGTGAGGTCGTGATAATCCCAATAATTCCATTGAATCTCAATTTTCATGGTTAAGATGACTATATATATTGTCCCAGAAATCCCATTTTGTATACCCTCTGGTAAACTAACATAACTATGGAAAATCACCATTTTTAATAGGTAAACCATCTATAAATGGGCCATTTATAGTGGATTTTCCCATTAAAAATGGTTATTTTCCATAGATCCTATGGATCCGATCGTCATGGCTTCGGGACATCAAAAGTCACCACGAGCTCTGCGCTGGCATCCCAAAGCGTCACCGTCGCCTCGTCCTCGTTCCTGGCACGTCGCGTCGCGCTTCCACGTTGGATGACTTTCGATGGGCAGCCCCTAAAAAAAACATGCTGATGGATGCAATGACATGATACATAGAAATATATCTTCAATGTAATGTAACTGCAATCTAATCTAATATATTTATATACAATCTCACTATATCTCACTTAGTTTAATTTGATCTGATTTGATATGTTGCTGTATGTAATCTAATGTACATAATCTACATCAAATCTAATGTAATCTGACGTCATCCTGAAACCCCAAACAACCGGTTGCTTGTCAGGGTTTCTTCACTACCATAGGGAAGATTAGCCGCTATTTCTTTAGTTAGGGGTTTCAGGACGTAATGTAACGTACTCTGATGAGATGCAATGCAACGCAAAGCGATTTGATTTCATGTAGTGAAGTGTAGTAAGTAAATGTAATGTGACATGTAATCCAATCTTTTCTGCGCAATAAACTGGTCATATATGCTGTATGCTGTAGCCACTAAAACAAAAAAGGCACCGGAGCAACTCACTGGTCACTGATGGTCACTGGATCCAGCTTTGCCATTGGAACGTGCCTGGTTTGCCAACATTTTACCGGGAATGGCTTGGAATTCCCGACCAGCCAAGTTGCTGATGGTTTGATATGGTCTATATCAATTGTGGATCCATAGGACCCCTAGCCCTAGCCACGTTTGTATATTCTCCTTTGATGCCAAATCAATCCAGACAAACAACAAATGCAACAGGGTATATGGTAGATCGTTTTTTCATCACACGTTAGCCTTGAGTTACTTTAGTTCTAAAAAACCTTTACCCTCTGGTAAACGTTTACATAACTATGGTTTAAATCACCATAGAAATAGTGGATTTTCCCATGAAAAATGGTGATTTTCCATAGCTATGTTAGTTTCCACATCATCCTTCAGTCACCAGTCACGGCAATGGACCACTCCCCAGCCGCCAAGCGGCACCTTTGCTGGGCCGACTGGACGTCGCTTCCGATCTGCATCCGAGGACCCGAAGATCTTACAGTTATGGCCATGGCTATTAGTTATAACTGGTTATTTCAATGGGATAACAAACAATCTATAAATGGGATTATACAATCTATTACATATTATACTGTTGTTATGCCATGAATATATTGCAGATAAGAAATGCCATTCATTATTATGAACAACAAAAAAATATTACTAATGACATATATATGTATATACTGGTTGGATCTGTTTGGTGGTATACCTACCCCTCTTTAACATATGAGTTCGTCAATGGGAAGGATCACATCCCATATATGGAAAAAAAAATGTTCCATACCACCAACCAGTATATATAGTCATAGAAAAGGTTCTATCCCATACTAAAACTGTGACAAATAGTGACAAAGTACGCACAATTGTTCTAGCAGTGACATTGCAAGTCTACTCAGAGCCGGTGCCGGGGGTATCCAACGACTTGACGCATTGGTAAATCCAAAGCAATAAAAGGGCGAATAAAAATCATGCCACCGGGCCTATTTTCTGAAATATTGAGCGAACATGAACGGCAAAATGCATTACCCTCCAGTAAATTCACCTAGACCCTGCCAGATAGGGGCTGGAAGATTCGTTTTCACGAAAAAAATGCGTTTGTTTTTAAATGCGTTTTTCAGAGTCGGAGCTGCTAATTGACCAGAGGCTCAGTCATTTGGCAGAGAATTTGCGCCACAAAGATCCACAAAGCTCCGAAGAATCTGAACTTAGTCCCAGGCTGCCCACGCTCCCTTTCGCTGCTGCGTCCATCAGTGCTCCTTGTGACAACTGTGACCAGTTGAGAGTCCTGTTGCACCAAAGTTGGGATAACAAACACGAAAAAGACATGGAGATAGCACATGGCTAATCTTGGACAATTACAGTATGAGTACCCAAACAATGCTGGTGCAGCACTTTCAACGGTCTCTTCCCCAATTTATAAAAGCAACATCGCATAACCCGTTAGAGAATCTGCCAAACTCGAAGTATTACTTTGCCCTTCTAGCTACCATCAGATAGGTGACCACCTCCCATCATATCCATCATGGTAAAATCACCTTCCAGTGACCTATCTCAGAGGTAATCGACCCAGCTTGGGGTCTGGACCAGCCCCAGTCCGTCCCGGTTTCCTATGATTGCGTTCCCATTGTTCCCGCTGCTCACCACGCTCCCCTCGATCACGATCAGATCGATCAGCCTCGGCCCTGGCGTAGTTGAGACGCAAGGCTTCGTAACTCTTGAGATTTTGGGATCCACCAGGAAATTGTGAGATTCTGTGGATCTTATGGATTGTTGGTGGATATTTCTGGATGTTTATGGTTATCGGATATTTCCAGGTCATTGGATGCTATTGGACACTTCTGGATATTCATGGTTACTGATTAACACCGGCTTACATGTTAACTGTTAACTTGGCATAAAAACTTCATCCCATGTTTTTTTTTCATAGGTAAATCATCAGAAATTTGGAGTTCATCCAATTTTGTTTGTTTGTCATAGGTAAATCTTCAGAAACTTGGATGTTTGATCGGTAAATCATCCCAATACGATCCCATTTAAAGTGGATATTGGACATCCCCACCACATGACGCTCGCCTGGAGCTCTGCGACTCCTGGTGCGGCAGCTGCTTAGCTATCAACCATGGTGTTTTTACAGTAGCTATATGTAGGCTATGATAGCTTTGTGTCATAAATCATATGTTTTTTTGTTTATCCACAAAACAACAATAAAAAAACATGCATGTGTATTCAAGACATGTTTACACGTGCAATCGCATATGACATAATGTTGAATGTTTTTGTGATCTAAAAAAACATGAGATAACTCAGCGGAACAGGACATAACTATGTACAATGTCATAAGAGAGAGGGCGGTTGATAGGGAATATAGCACCTCCTAAAAACATGGGATTGATGGAAATCCTAATAAAAGAGTGATGAGGTGCTGTTTCTGCCATTTTGGTACTACTACTACATCTGCACAAAAATATTATACACACATCAATGCTTTAACAAAACATATTGATCGTGGGAAAGATCGATCAATACTATGATATACATTACTGCAAGACTGTTGATTGAATATTACATATCCATACATAATATATATATATATATATTTATGCGTATACTAGAATATTACTTGTATAAGCAAAGACAAGAAACATAGCTAGGTAGCTTCATCACCCAATGTCCTGCACCTTGGGGCGGTTTAAGATCTGCACCTGAGCGATGAAAACAGAAGGGAAATCACTCTTTGGAACCATGATATTGGCATGTGTGTATATGCATTCTAAATGCATTATGTATGTATAATTATACATATATATATATATACTACCATACATGTATAAACAAAGATGCATATATTCATCATATAAGCATCTATCGTACACATATGTTGCCATATATATATGTTATAGACTCATAGACGTAATTATGATCCGTTGTACATAATATAATATATAGTGGACTAAAGAGACCTGGTAGAAAAGCGATTATCAAGCTTTTTATGGTGAATCAGAGCAAAATAATTTGAAAGAAGCTGCTTGCTTGCGATAGAAACTTTGCGGGTTTACATTGCACATACTTTAAAATTGTATGTGAACACGAATACAAGATCGGCCCTTTGCGTACGTACCTGCCCCTTCCCGACACGCCATCTTGTCAAATCTTGAACATCCCAGGTGTTTAGCAGACACGGTGACACCGTGACACCGTGTTTTTTCTTGACCAGACGGTGCACACCCACAATTGCTGTTGGTTGTGGTTCTGCTCGTGCAAGTGGTTGGTTCCACAATATCCAGATGATTGTTGACTAGATCCCCGAGTGGTGCTCGAGTTTGAATTTAAGTCTGGACAAAAGTCTTCTGTAATCGCCAGTTGGATTACAACTCAAACATAAGGCATTTCCAAGCCCATGACATTTCCAGAGGACCATCTTGCATCTTTCATGTTGGCAAGGGAGATACCCCCCATGTTTCACCATGTTTTTTGGTGACGCCAATTCTTCTGTCGTGTTATGCCCATCCCAATGACGGCCCAAGGAGAGTCCCAGCTGGCGTTTTGGGATGCCCTACGTGGCGATCCAAACCTCAGCCCGTCGTCACGCGGCGAAACCATGGGCCTATGGGTTTATGGTCATTTATTAATTATAACTGGTTATAAATGGGATTATACAATCTATAAATGGGGTTATAAGTACTTATAGCTGGTACAGGGCCATAACTGTATGGGTTTATCAAATCAAGAAGAGGACCCCACTTTGTAGAGATGTGGGTCAAGGCGCAAGATTTCACCTACAAAAAAAAGGTACGAAGGATATGATGACATTTGAATGACATTATAATTCGCAAACGCTTGGATTGTATAAACTAACACGGGTCATGACCTTTGTGGATGATAGTGGGATATACATGGATATACTACATGTGAAACAGTCATGCGAAGTAAACAACAAAACATCATATGTGTGTGGCAATAAACAACCGAAAGGATTTGGGTTTCTTCAGGTAAGACATCACTCCGACCTATAATGGTCAATCATGGGGTATGTTACCAACCATCTAAAATGTCTGTTGGGAACATCCGTCAGGCAACATGTTCGCAACCACCAGCCAAGAATCCAAACTGCCTTTATTTATGAATTGAGAAGTTTACCTGTATAGGATGTCATGACATCATTGTTTCAGGAAGTCTTGGTCACTCAATGCATTCAAACACATCTATTAAATCATATCAATTCTATATCATTCTATATCTATTGAAAGATGAGAGCAGCAGTCTTCAACTGCCCTAGATTCTGAAACTCACATGGCCTGCAATTCATCGTTTGTCCAAAACAGAGGCAATGATGGAATCCCAGGATCCGCCAACCGACGCAACCGAGTCCCGAAGCACCAGTTCTGAACGTTGAGATGGGCTTTGGCGAAACATGGGGTGTTCATTCAATAAATGTTGTAACTGACTCACAATTGATAAAGGGTTTTAACCCTAGGAATGGTGTCAAAGACATTTCTGAGCCAGCAATCTGCATCTCTTTTGCACAATAGCATTGATTGCGCGTCGGGACTCACATCTTCAGCACACGGAGGCCCTGCGACCATCTGCTAGCCTCAGGGTGTTTGAAAACATCCATGACAAAAACAATACATCCATACACACGGTAAACTTACCAAACTTCTGCCAATCCATCAACGCCACCTAAACTGCAAACAGCCAACATATCCAACGCCTCCGTCTGATAATTTCTACAAATGGTCCTGAACCTGGTCACACAACAATGCTGTTCCCCCAGCACTAAAGAAACATACGTGACATGAGGTCACCAAAAGTCCTTTGATGCTCATTTTATCTGCCAGTTTAGGTCCTGAAAAAACTAATCATCATCATCATCATCATCATCATCAGCAGCAGCAGCAGCAACAAAAAACATGATAACAACCATCATAATAAGATTCATAATAATAATGATCAGCATCCCATCTCAGCTCATATCTACCCGCTAGACATCCCCACATGCGTTGCGGCCCAAGGTGCGTGTCGTCCGAATCCTCGTGGCTCCGAACATTCCGTGGATCCCAATCTTCCAACACCAGGGCTTCGGCGCCTGGTGCCGTGCCATGCCGGGCACATGAGACATTCTGATGTCCGCAAAAAACATATTTAAACACATGTGAATATATATATATATATGTTTATATATATGATATTATAATGATATATATATATATATTACTCCAATATTGACAAATTTCAGGGTTCCAACATGTTCCAATTATCCCCAAGTGACGCGACTCAGTCCATCAACACCAGCGCCAATGACGCCTTGCACCAGCAACCCCGAGCATTGCGAAGGTAGCTGTGCAGGACACACGCGGCGCAAATTTTCCGGTTTCACCGCCAGGATCTTGTTGTTTTCGCCGGTGCCTGAAGCTGCCGCTTTTCACCCTCGAAATCTTGGTTTTCACATGTTTTCACACCCTTACTTCGATTGGGATTTTTGAGATGTTCAGTGTTTGGGATGTATGGTGTGTCGATTTTGAATTCACTGGTTCTTCACCCAAGTGTTTCTACACATATACTATGCTGCAACACAGGAGTGTCTTCTCTTGTGTTCAATTAGTTTCCCGGGAAAATTCCCATGCTAATTACACTGATTTTCGATAACTTTCAAAACACAGCCATTGAGCCAAAGCAGATATTATATGTCTGTTTCATGCGCGACCAGTTGATGCCAGAAACAATGGGAAATCCAATTGAAACAGTAGGAGTTGTCAAATCCATTAGTGCACGCATTATTTTGCTTCACCAAACCACGAATGGAACAAACATTGAAACACACTCTTCTAAAACCTGAAATTTGCTAGAGCCCTCCAAAAGGAAACGGTGCATTTCTTCGGACTTCATTTTGCTTCACAAACAACGAATGGAATAAGCATTGAAACACACCTTTTGAAGCCCTGAATATGAGCCCTCCACTGCCGGAGGGGAAACACATCTTTGAAAGTTGTTCGCCCTTTTGTGGAGCAGTATTCCTTGGGTCACTAGTCACACTTAAGAATCTGGTCAGTTTGAATTCTGTCATGTTCCGGTTGACAGCTTCAAATCATCCTGACAATATGAATGGATTCATTGGAACATTCATCTCAACGAGTAACAGAAACCAGCTAATCCAGTTGAGTACCCGTTAAACACCAAGGCAGTGAAGGCCACAAAATGGTCGTATCATGTTCAAACATACGGTAACTACATTCAAATATACGGACTTT